TTACTAGACTTTACTCGGCCGGGTAAGGCCGAGCACCGAGTACATATTACTCGGTTAAAATTCGGGCCGAGCACCGAACTACTCGGTACTCGGTGCAGCCCTAGTTATTATTTAGTTTTACTAGAAACTGCATCATTCATTTTATACTACACATCATGAGAATGTACAAATGTACAGCTGGTTCCAATAGAGTTGAATACGATTTAAAACATATTTTATTATTTCGGGCAGAATATTCTATGATACGAGTCCCTTATTTATCTACTCATGTCATGCTGAAAAATTTATTTGCCACTTTGTCAAAAGCAAAGTTGTTTTATTCAATGTCACAATAACAATAATATGTCAAAATACTTGACACATAAATATACACTGCCCAAATATTCGAAAAAATATGTAAAGAGTCGTATTCATTTTTTTTTGGAACCAGCTGTACCATGCTGTACCATGCAAAAAAAATCCGTATACCGGGTGCACCTCCAAAGTCCAAATAACCTTACTTATAACTTGTTTATTTTTTCAAATAAAAAAAAACGAGATTTGGTATGTTAATATGTGACATTAGGATTGACTGACGTATTCAATTGTTTTTGGTCGGTATATTTCTACTTTATTCGATAGAAAATGACACTCTGAATAAAATGAGATGTCATGTCGACATTTTCGCATATGGTTTATTTGATATTTTAACATGCGGTTCATAACGGCAATTTGACTCGAAATAACAAGTGTGTGGTACCGAATTATTCGTAAAAAATGAGTTTTCCAAATATGCTAATGAGCCGTCCTTGTTTCATTTGAAAAAAATGAGATATATGATTAAAAATACAAATTGGGCATCTGTTAACTGGCCAGGACAAGCCCCGAAAAACATTAGACGATCAAAACTATTTTTCCAAGGCTTCTTGATTAAAAGTCAGAAGTGTTTTTAACACATCCATGGCACTGGCAAGTGGGTTGTAGTCATTTCCAATGAAAGAGGAAGTGACCAACAATTGAATACGTGAATCAATCCTAATTTATGTCATATAGTAACCGAGATACTAATATATAGGCGTGAGCCACTTTCGAGACGCACCCGGTATAGACAAAAACTGCATTGTCTCTTTTGAAAAATCGAATACTTAAAGACTTTTTTAATGCTTTCCCTCGACATTTCCCGAGACTTTTCTATTATCTTGTTTTCTATACCATTTACTTACATGCTTAAAAAAATATTTCCAATTATCGCAAAAAACAATGACTTTGAGATCACTTTTCAATTTGACAAATACTTAACCGATATTTACAAAAAAAGTGGCAACATCTGAACTGAGGTGAACGAACCTTTCAATTTTAATGTGTATATTATGTTATAACTTTTACATTAGTAAAAGTTCAGGCCAAAATAATAAAAAATGGTTTATTGCCAAATAATAAATTTAGGAATTTCTTTCTTTTATATAATTTCGAGACATCTAAACATTATGTCCAGATATACCAAAAATATTATCAGACAAAAAAACATATGAACCACTTTTAAATCTTATCATCATATTTACTGTAAACAAACGAAACAGCTGATATCCTCGGAATATACAGACTGGTCCACATATTTAGTATTTAGTAGACGTAAAATATTTTTAGCGTTAGTGTTTCGGCTTCATTTTGAAAAGTAGTAGAATCTCTGGTATTTTGTATTTTAAATGGAGCACCCCGTATATTATTACATTATTAGAAACTACTTTCATTTCTCATTTTTCTATTTTACTTCCCAATATCTATCTCTAATAGATTCCGAGAAAAAAAATGGCGCCGGGAGGCACGTATAGCCGCCCATACTAAAATATGTTAATAAAAAGTTGGTAGGCAGTTCTTTTAGTTTCAATTATCTCAAAAACTACGACTTTGACTGATTTTAATGTTATTACAAATTTTGTTTCAAATATTATTCCTAATCTTAAATTGAATCCCGCGTTTCGCTAGCTACTGTAATTTTGGAGTTACGATTTTTTAAAAAATTTAATCCCCTCCCATACACCTTACCAACCCCCAACCCCCACCAAAAACTAATGGCCAGATTCTCGGGTGCCACAATATTTTTGTGCCAAATTTGGTTAAAATCGGTTTAGCGGTTTTTGAGTTATCGTGTTACAGACAGACGGACAGATACCATGAAAATATTTTGTATTTAGGTCATTTATGACCCAAATAACTAATTTTGAGTGGAATTAAAAAAACTTTTTTTGCCGATCTTAATAGCCTACCATACCTGTTGGTATGGTCGGCTAAAAATATCTAATATTGACAAAATTATCTATGATTTTGAATAAAGGTAATCATGATTTCACCATACTGAAATTTAAATTTGAGTTTTGCATTACGTAATTATACAGGGTAAGTCAAAAATAAATGGAAATATTTTCAGGGTGGTAGATCTCGACAAAAGAAACATATTTTCTCTTTACCGTTTTTGAAATAAGTGGTACATAACATTTAAGTTATTTTACTAAAATTAAAAAAAAATTAAAAAAAAACATTTTTTTAAAATTTGGAAAAACACTGGATCTCTTCTTGGTTTTCTATCTTGTAAGTTTAACCTATAACCTATGTTGCCATATATCATATTATGATTTTTAACTAAAAATTAAAAAAAAATCCAAAATTGTTTTTTTCGCAAAAAAACTCATATAGACGTGGTTCTGGGTTCAAAATATACTTCCGATAGGTTGAGACGGAAAATGCGTTATAAAGTACAAATATATTGCACTTTTTTTTCCAGCGACAAAAATAATTATATTATTGAGAGATGTGCAGTTAAGAAAAAAGATCTAGCCTAGCTAATCTGTGAAAATGGGTGCCTAATATGTCTGGCAGGTGAAAAACTGGATAAAATTTTTGTCATTTCTACATGTTTTTACTTTTCATAATTTATGGTAAGAAAAGTATTGGTTTAGGGCGAAATCTGACTATGGCCAAAAACACTTTTCTCAAAGTTTTGACCCCAGGAATCCAACAAGATTTTACTCCGTCCGTCCATCATCAAAAAACTTCATTCGCCAATATCTTTGTACGAGCAGAGATATAAAAAACTTGTATTAATAAATGTCAGATATTTGGAAGTTTAATTCTCTACAAAATCGATCTCTTGACTATATTTTGTATATCCCTTAGTTTTTGAGTTGATACCAATAAAAAAATCTGGTCAATGTGACTTTTCCTAAACTTATCATATGAATGTGTTTGAACCTAGAGCAATTTTTGAAATTAAGAATAATATTTCTCGCTCGGTTTCTCGATTTTGCTATATTGAAAATCACGAAATCAGCTAAACGTGCATTTTCTATGAAATTATAATATTATTTATCATGTAACAAATTTTCAAATCCGAGATAATAAGTACAAAAATTTTGTAAAACAGGGGACCACACAATAGATCTGTAAGGTCGCGGTGATTAACTCCCCTCCTAAACATTCTACATTCTACCTGTGAATTAAAATGACAGACTGTAACTGTCATCACTGTCGTGACTGCCATTCATTTCGTCAGAGAAAGAAGGCAATATTTTGCATGATTTCAGCTACCGGTACTTCACCAATTTTGATGATTCTTTTTTTAAATGAAAGGTAGGTATATACCGTATGATCGAAAAAAAACGGCGTCAGCGATGGCTATGGACAACGATGGCTTACTTTTGATATACAAGGTTTGTCATAAAATCATATACAGGGGATGAAAAAATAAAAAGGGACATTTAAATTTTTCGTTTTTTTACATAATTCGAATTACATAATAACGTAAAAAGACTCGACGTGTAACGCGAACGAAGTCGCGGGAAAAACTAGTAATTACCTACATACAATATAAACTGATCTATGTACTATTTCATACATTATTATCGAAAGTATTTTTTGTTCAGAGTTAGAAAAATACGTTGATAAGCACTATTAAGTCTGTCCAACGACTCAGGGAAGATTTCGACCGAGATTTTGATAGATGACATCCAAAAACTGACAGAAAATACAATTTGCCTGTGAATTAAATGACAGATAAAACTGTCACTGTCGGGAATCCTCTCGTTGGCGAGACTATATTCATATAGTAGGTATTTAAAAGAATATGATATTCAGATTCAGTTCATTAGTTGAATTATTAATTTTATCGAGAATTTTATAGAATAGGTGAATAGATTCCAATAAGAAGTGTGTGACTATAATCATCATAAATTTAACATTAAAAATTTAATTCATTAAAAAATGTCCTTAATAATCTGATTTTTTTCTTTTGTAATTTTATGATATAAGTAGGTCTCATTTTAGAATTTATTACTAATAAATTCAATTCATTATTTAATGGCAATTTTATAGAGACAATCCGAAATTTTTTGCTTAAATTTTGAGAACCGCTGGTAATTACTTTTCTAAGTTTTCTTTCTTGTAAATTTAATCTACTAGATATACCTAATGTTGCCATATTATAAAGAAGTTATGTTTTTCAACTAAAAAATAAAAAAAAATACCAAAATTTTTTTCAAAAAATCTCAAATTTAAAAAAAATCGCAAGAAAAAACTTCAGTCGTATTTTTGGGGTCGAAATATACTCCCCTAAAAATATTTGAACTTATTTAAAACTCACCCTGTATATTATATAAAATTTAGTTGGAATATCATATAACTACAACTACATATTTACTTTATTTTAATTATATCTACCTATTTAGGGTAGATTATGATTATACAATATTATGATGTGTTTGTGTGTCATCTCTCTTAAAAAAATAAATTTAATAAAATTAAACAAAAAAAGTATTCCTAATAAACAAATGCAACTAGTTATCCAAAATTTTAATTTTTATAATTTAATTTTTTTTGAGCTTTGAAAAATACTTATATATAATTTGGTGTTAAGTATAAATAGGTAGCTGGTAGGTACGTATTATTAAAAAAATATTCATGTAAATAATATCCTAAAATATATAGGTTATGATATACTTAATATCATTAAAAATATAAACATTTACATTTTGATTTCCTCGAAGTCCCTCGGCCTTGTCTCATAATTTTTGGCACTCACTGTTTTTCACATTTTAATACCGTTTTAATTTAAAAATCGTGAAAATATCCTAAAGATTAAACTTTTAAAAATAAGCAGTAGCAGTTTAACGCTTTGAAAACTCAACTACATGTATGACACGATTTGCACGACGTTCCACTAATAACAAACGAAAATCGAATTTTTACTGGAAATTTTTAATTTTATGCACGTCCTAAAGAACACATGAAGAAAACACTATACTAATCAAACCTTAGCGCATGTTTACGTGATATTCCGCCATTGTCAATTCATGCTTTTTAGATCTTTTGCGACTACAGATATCTGTTTTGCCGGTTATATTCTAAAATGTGACCAAAATATCAGGTAAAATTATTGCAATAAACCTTTATTCCCCGAGGTTTTTCTTGGATTTTTGAGGGTCAGAAATATAGTTTATTATACGTCATAAAGTAATGTCGTATATAAAACTCGAAGAGAAAGCGAAAGGAAAGTAAGGTTATGACAATCGTTGTTTATGAGTTGTTTGTTTGGCTACGTAAAATTGTTTTCAGAGTTTTGGAGAGACTAGATATTTGATGTTAAATTGAAGCATGTATTTAGAAATTGAGGAGCATAATTTTGCTTTAATATGAGGTAATTTACTGGAAGCCCACCTTGGTCGGCTTGGCCGCTGGCCTTTTCGAGTAGGGGAGCAATGGCAGTAGCGTCAATCAACTACTTTTCTTCTTAGATCTTCGACAAAAATGCTGTTGCGAAAAGCGGTGAGCGAGTGCTGCCATTTTCACTGCGTCGGTGTTGCCGAGGTGTGAACATCCGACAGCGCCGTGTTTGAGCGACACATTTCACCGGTTTCAAATTCAAACACCAAAACACAACACACTCACAACTCGCGAACTGTATGAAAAGGCATAGATATATCCAGACTAGCGTAAATAGACGACGAACTGTACGCGAACTAGGCCACTAAAGTTGGTGGCTGTCGATTTTTTTCGCACTCCCGACTTTTATTTTTTTTTCATAAAGTATTCCATCGCGAACTCGGCGGCGGCGGTAGTTGACAGTGTCACCCCTGAAAATCAATAAAGTTAACCAACCCCTTAGCCTTTCCCCACCCTCTGCTCATTCAACAACATCCCGACTATCATTACACACCGTTCGGCGTCAACGAGGCACGATTTTTCAACACTTTGCCGCTAAGCGAGCTTCGACCATTGCCGGTTTTCGGCTTGGGCTTCGGCTTCGCTTGACTCACGCTCGAACGTCACTGTCTCAAAGCTCAAAGCCAACTTTGCCACGTCTGTCTCTCTCGAAAGTAAGTAGAGCGGCGGCAACGGCGACAGCGACCATCAAAAACCAACGGTCTCCTATCCGATGCCGCCTTAACTTTTATCAGATTCGCGGACGCGGTTTAGCATGGCGCTTTGATTGCGGTGCGGTGATATTCATTGGTAGTCTCGCATTCAAGGCATAAAAACAATGGAAACATGAAAATATCAATAAAGTGAGTTAGATTTACACCGACCCTGCAATATTCCTTAATAAATAAAGATATTATTTTCTAACTACAATAAATGAATAATTAATTTTATATTATTTTCACTATATATTGTCCAAATTACTATTAAATATTGACTTCTTAATAGCTCTTGGGAAATGGAGTATTCAGCTTGGGCATAATTTTGTTTTTGTAAAACAATTTTACCGTATTCTGACTGTATGTGGGATGCACGATGCGCTGTTTTTTTTTGGATTTAAAATTGGAAATAATTTCGATCAGGTGTAATTATATTGTTGGTTGCCTAATTAGAACATGTATGTCAAAACTTAACAGTATGGACAGAATTAAATATAATTTTAACAAAAAGTATCATTTTGTGTACTTAATATGTGTAGAAATTCATACCTGATACCTCATATTATGGTTATTATAGATAAGTTTTGTAATCATTTGTATTGCAACTTCAATGAAGAAAAAAACGGAAATTTTGTAATGATCGGTGTTAAATATTTTGACATTATGATGAAATTAAAATCAAAATATTTTTCTCAAAAACTATTTATAAGGACAAAAAAAACATTTTTCTAACAGACCTAGTCATTTAATATAAAAATCATGCAATTATTTCAGTAAAAAATAGAATGTACGGACATTTTCAATATATCTACACTATTTTATAAAAAATCTGTAGTCATGCAAACTTAGAATTTATAATTTTCAAGATTTTTAATATTAGCATAAATTATAAATATAAAATTATATGGGGAACCATTGGGGAACGTAATCAATTTTAATTTTCCAGCCAACTGAACGTCGTTTTTTTTCGATCATACGGTACCTAGGCATTTTTAAGTTTTTAATTCTTATAGGCCGGCAGTTCCTGCGCATTCGCCAATTTGGTTCATAATTTCAATTTGCAGAAAAGAAATAAACTTTCAAGAGATATTTTATTATAATATTAATAGTCGATCAACTAAAGAAAAATCGAAAACATTTCTAAAAAAAGGCTCAGGGTAAAATGCTATTAGGTAATAATCAAAGAGAAGGTTAATAACTAGAATTATTAACGTTTTCTCTGGTAATAAACATCTATTTACTTCTGTCCATTAAATTTTAAGCCAAGTTTCATATTGTATTTAAATAATCTAATTATTGAGGAAACATCTAAATTTAATAATTTATTAAAATAAATTAAGTACAATAAATAAGAGCCATTCACGTCAACAATTAATATAAATAAAACAAACAATATACAAATAAATACTGTCTTGATAAAACAGTTTAAATTTTACAATAAAATAGGTAACTAGTTTCATTCAATATAATTGTAAATAAAATAAAATATACTAGACAACCTCTGTTGACGACTTTTTTCCTTTAGGGCCCCAGTAATCCTCACTTTTCATTTCAGCTAATCTAGACATTGTTCTATCAAATGCAAAAATTTCTTCCTCCCCAGTGAATATATTGGCAGTTAAATCAGATTCTCCAATTTTTAAATCATCCATTAACATCCTATGTTCATCGCTGATTCCCTCAAAAGATTGTTTAACAACACAAAAAAGTTCTTTAAGAGGCACATCTGATGAAATAATTACTTTAGTCTTTTGGTCATAAAGAGCATCAATAAGAATAATGAATCTTCTTGCTGCTGATTTCATTTTGATCACATCAATCTGTGGAACATCTCTCACTATAATTGTGTGAAAAAATTGAGTTAAATGAAGATAATCATTAGCACCTAAAGGTCGTTCACACAATTCCTCAAATGAGCTTTCTAGGATTCCTCCACATACTTTTCTGAACGTAATATTACGTCCTAGAATTGTAAATGTTTTACTTCTAATTATATCATTTTCTTTGGAACATAGAAATTTTAAAATAGGTTCTATAGGGTCTAATTTGTACTCTGATTTGACAAAATAGTTTGTTTTTCCTCCAGATATTCTTTGTCGATAATCTATACCTGAGTCTAGATTTCCTATTTCACAATGATTTTTTAAAATATCTATGAAAGGCAAGAAGTTTGATCTTTGTAAACCATTCTTATACAAATCTTCTGGCGGTCTGTTACTAGTTGCAACCATAACAATGCCACGATTGAAAAGCTCTGTAAATAACCTTTTCAAAATCATTGCATCTGCGATATCTGTGACTTGAAATTCATCAAAGCATATAAGCCATGACTGTTTTATGATGGAATCTGCTATTGGTGGAATAGGGTCAAATGGCTTAGCTTTCCTATCAGAAAAATCTTGAACCACCTCCTGCTTTAAATTGTGCATTTTTTTATGTACGTCTATCATGAATTCATTAAAATGAACACGCTGTTTTTCTTCAATATCACAGCACTTAAAAAATAAATCCATAAGCATAGTTTTACCTCCACCAACTGCTCCATAAATATAAAGGCCCTTAGGAATATCTTTCTTGTTACTAGAAATAAATCTACTTAAAAAACCTGCTTGATAAGGTCGATAATGCTGAATGTCTTCATAAACTCGTTGCAACTTTTCAGCAATTTTTAACTGAACATGGTCTAGTTGTAATTGCTTATCACTTATTTTCTTCTTAAGTACAGTAACTGGTCCTTCTTGTAATACTATATGACTTGTTTTTAATGAATAATTTAATTTAAATATAACATTTACATTATGTCTAAATTGTAAAATTTGAATAACTGCTCGTCCCATTTTACTTACTCAGGGTAGTACAAATATAAATATATCCTATATAATAGTATAGCAATTGGATTTTTCCATTTTAATCGTTATTTTTTCTTACGTAATTTTTTAGCTCATTTTTCTATGGAAAATAATCATCAATTTGCGGGGTTTCGTTCATAAAATGTTTCGTTACTCATCATAAAACGAATATAACCAAGAAATTTAATTAATTACCATTACCAGGATACTACCAGAACCTTTACCAGAACATTAATTAATTACGGTTGAGTACATTGAGCAATTTGAAAATTTTTTCAAAATAAAATTTTTCAAAATTCCAATATTTTTATAACATATTGGATCATATATAAATGATCACGATGATTATGATTATGGCACTAGAGTTTTAATCTGTGGAATATTCAAAATCATATAATTTTCTTTTAGGGATGTAACAAAAACATCGCAATTTTGAAATATCGATATTGGGTTCTGTAGGCGGACACATGCGGTTACCTCTGGAAAATCTGGCCAGGGATCTATGGAGTGTAGAGTCTTGGCAGCTGTAGCCTGTAGCCTTTAAATAAAAAGAAGAAGGATCCAGAGTTAACCCCAGACTTTAATCTAGATCTAGGTTAATTTTTTTCAGTTTTCCAAAATATTTTTATTTTTTACTATCAAATAAAAATTAATCTCTAGTGTACTAAGTAGTGGATAATTTTATGATCTTTTAAAATGACTTCTTTCAATGGACTTGGTGATTGGGAAACTAACGAGATAGGAGATGAATTATGTACTTTTTTAAAAAAGGTAATAACAATCGTAGTGAATAGAGTCTTACCAAGATACACGGATTGGTCAATAAATGTGTATCTCAAAAGTTGTTCAAAAATTTTAAAATTTTTCACAACTATTCTTTTTTTTTATTGTCAACTTCTGTCATCTATCATTTAATCATTTCATTAAAATTCATGTTCTTGCAACAAGAAATTATTAAAAATGTCTCTGAATAAGGCAGCTCATTTGTATAAACAGTTATCTGTTTATAAGCGCAAGAAATTGTTTTTCAATAACTTTAATTACTATAAATATATTTCTAAAATCTTTTGGTACAACTGCAGTTCTAAAGTAACATCTTCAGTGTTAACTAATATCGATAGACCATTTCAAGATAAAAAGATTGATTTAACTAGCGAAAATAGTGGACCAGATGAAAAGGACAGTTCTATAAAACACATGAAATATTCTCTTTTGTTTCTGGGAATATCGTCAGCCATTTTTGGATCATATGTTATATTTTATTTTGGCGCTCCAGAAGTAGATGAAAAGGGTGAAGTAATTCCAGATGATTATACTCCTATGCCGTTGTGGAAACAGTATATTTTGAGGGGAATAAAACAACTAGAAAAATTTGCAGTTCTAATTCAAGAACCTTCAAGGGAAAAACTGTTGCCAGATCCACTGGCTTATCCTTACTACCAGCCTACCTATACTTTAATTCTGGAATTTACAGATGTTCTAGCTCATCCCGAATGGCAGTATCAAACCGGCTGGAGATTTAAAAAACGTCCCGGTGTAGATTATCTCTTAGAAAATTTGGTGGGCCTGTACGAAATTGTAGTGTTTACTGCCGAACCTGGTATGACAATTTTTCCTGTAATTGAAGCCCTTGATCAGAAAAGTCTAATATCTTATAAACTCGTTCGAGATTCAACTCATTTTGTTGATGGTCATCACGTAAAAAATTTGGATAGATTAAACAGAGATCTTAGTAAAGTCATTGTGGTCGATTGGAATACTCAGTCTGTTAAATTCCATCCAGATAACCATTTCGTTATCGACAGATGGAATGGAAATGATGAAGATAAAATATTAATTGAATTAACTGATTTTTTGAAAACGATTGCCGAGACAAATATTACTGATGTTCGAGAAGTTGTCCAGTTTTATAAACAATTTGATAAACCGCTTGATACTTTTAAACAAAAGCAAATAGAGTATTATGAATCACAGCAAAAATCGGAAAAGCCTCGAGTTCAACCAAAGGAATCATTTTTAAAGTTGTGGAATCTATTATTATAATCTTAAAATTTATGTATAAATGTATAAAAAGCGATGTATTAATAAATACATTATGTTTTACTTTTTTTAATGAATGTTTTTTAATTTGAGAATACTGTTACAAAAATTTCTTGCTCTAGGAAATGTGGGCTGGAACTCTGTAACGAAATAGCGGTCGGTAGCGATGAAGAATACTGACCTTGGCCGTACAAACTAAACGGCAAGAGACGCACCGTTTAGAGTTCCACCCGTGGCTGCGTTTTTTAGCGCGCGTTCTCTATTTTTAGTTCTTTAAGACTAACTACTAATGATCAATCTTCAGATATCATTCGTGTGTTAAATCAGTTAAAAGCATAAATAAAAATTCCGTTCAATATTTAGGGATGATAATTCTTTGCCTAATGTCCGCAAGAAAGTCTATCTAATAATAAAATCTAAGTCTGTCTAATATTAAAAAAAAGTGTTTTTTTTATTATTAGGGCTAGGTGTAGAGTAAATTAGATAACGCAAGCTTTTTATTTTGACTTTTAGACGGTTTACCTATCTGCTAATAAATTTGATATTTCAAGTTGAAAACTACCCTCGTTTAGTAGAACTTTGAAAAATGAATATTTTGTCACTTCGATAATTTCAATTTTTTTGTGAATTTTTCGAAGATTTTGACCAGTCCCTGTATATTAACTTTCACGCATCCATACATCCATGCAAAAATATTTAATATTACCCTTGTTTAATCAAGGATATTACTTAATCTGGCACATTAATAACTATTAATATCCACTTTCCAAATTTAAACTAAAACTATTTGTTAAGCCCAATATTCTTAAGGTGCGTTCACACCGGCTGCACCAAGACATTTTTTCACATGTACTTTTGAAGTATATTTTCTTTAGCGCGCACAAAAGTATATGTTAAAAAAATGATTTGCGCAGCCGGCGTGAACACCTTTACAACCTTTAAATTAAAAAGAAAGAAGATTTAAAATCTTTAATTTAAAAATCACCTCTCTTTGAGAAAAATGGATGCCTGGTTTAAAAATGCCAATATTCTTGGACGTACGCTCGTTTTGATGCAAAATTTATTTACTTTTAGTAAATGCACCTCAAACAGACGTATCACTTCATTATACATTTAGTTGAATAATAATATCTATTAATAATCTATTTTGTTTTTTGTAAAACGTTTAAATAAATAAAATTTGCATCACAATTGTATTTGCATCGTATTGAGTTTTGAAGCAAAATAAATAGTTGTAGCCAAACTATTTGCGAAAATATTTGTTAATGTGCCAGATTACGTAAAATGAAATAGTTTTCATAGATAAGTTAAAGTTAATATACAAGGACTGGTCAAAATATTAGAAAAATAAAAATTATCGTAAAATGACGAATTTCGGAAAGTGGATATGAAGTGTGAAACTTCAGTACTAGATGAGTGGCGTGCATATAATGTAGGCAAAAGACTACCCCAGACAATATCATAAAATATTTTTTCAATATCATTACATTATAACTCATTGCTAATTCAATATAAATATTTGCCTTAAGCATTTTTCATATATATATATATATATATATATATATATATATATATATATATATATATATAAACGGGATTTGGTTTAAGTATTTAATACTCATTTCCAACTACAGCCTATTGCTGTTTCCGTTACCTTCCCGTTACCCTACGCCACACATCTCGATTTAGAGCGTCATCAGCTTCTAGGTTACGAGCTTCCATTGCTTCCGTAACCGTTCCGTTCCAGGATTTTCTAGGTCTACCTCTCTTTTTTCTGCCCTGGGGAGCCCATTGAAAAACTCTTTTTGGCCACCTGTTCTCTGGCATACGCAGAACATGTCCAAACCATTTTAAGCTGGATTTTTCGATTCGATCCAGTACTGTCTCCTCCGATGCATTCATGATACGCCTGACCTCGATGTTTGTCTTTTTTTCCATCCTAGATATACCTGCACTTCTTATAAGGTAGTCTATTTCAACAACTTGGATTTTGCGCTTCGCGTCTGCATTCCGAGTCCATAGCTCTGAACCATAGCAAAGAACTGACTCCACCAATGTTCTTCCAAGTCTCTTTTTAGTTGTTGCAGATAAGTTTCGGTCCCACCAGAGGCTGTTAAGACATCCAATAACTTGTTTGCTCTTCTGAATTCGGGTTTGTATTTCTTCTTTGCCCAAACCCTCGTTGTTGATAGTGGCACCCAGGTATTTAAATTTGTCTACTTGTTGAATTTGGACGTTATCATTAATGAAGACTTCAAAACGAGCGTTGGAATTGACAGCTAAGTATTCGGTCTTCTTTAGACTAACCTGAAGTCCCCATTTATTGTATTCTTGATAAAGCCTCTTAGTCATGAACTCTAGATCGTATGAGTCCTGCGCAATCACGACCTGATCGTCTGCAAAGCTCAGGGTAAATAGTGTGTTGTCCCCAATGGGTATTCCCATACCTTGACATTTCGTCTTCCATTCCCTAAGTGCTACTACGACGTAAGCGTTGAAGATCAGAGGAGATAAGCTGCATCCTTGTCGCAACCCTTTTGTGGTGTTAATTGGATTAGATAGCCTGTGTCCTATCTTAACGTACGATTCATTTTCTTTATATAGCTCTTTTATTATATTAAGCAAAGGTCTATCTACTTCTAAGATATTCAAGACTTCCCATATCTTGCTGCGGGGAATAGAGTCGTACGCTTTCTCCAAATCAATAAATAAATAAATTGCATTTTTCATCTTATTTTTATTCTAGAAATGGCCCAAAATATATTAAAATAATTTTTGACTACTGCGTTATTGCGGGATTTTTACCATATCATTTACGGGAGTGCGGTTTGATGTAAAAAATAAAAATTTATCTGACAATATGGAATCACTTGTATGCAATATTAATAACATCATTGAAAATAATATTCCATTAAAAAGAGTCAAGAAAATCCGCAAAAGCCGTGGATAAATGAGTATTTATTTAGGCAAATAAACAAAAAACGTCAACTTTGGAACAAATATAAAGTACTAAAAAGCAATGATGCTTATCAAGTTTATCGCAGACATAACAACCAACTTAAATTGTCTCTAGACCAAGTAAAAATTGAGTATGAAGCAGGGCTGCTAGAAAGGGCCAACAAACATTTTTATTCATATATTCGTCGGTCCGTAAACTCAAATGTCACCTCAATCACCCTAAAGGATCAAAACAATGATATAATCACCGATTTAACTAAAACATCAGAGACCCTGGCAAATCAATTTGAAAAAGTTTTTACTTTGGAAGTTATGAACAACTTTCCCAGTTTGCCATATAGTACAAGATCAGATCGTGACATAACTTCTATAAATTTTACACCAGAAACACTTAAGGAAATTTTGGAAAACTTAAAAAAAGAATCCAGTCCAGGGCCAGATAACATTCCAGCAATTTTCTTGGCAAATTGTGCAGAAGCCCTTAGTCAACCACTATCTGTTGCCATGAACAGACTATTGAGTGATGGTACATTTCCGGAAATCTGGTCCGAAGCTATAGTGACTCCTCTATATAAAAAAGGAGATAAATTTAACCCGGCAAACTATAGACCTATTAGTTTGACGTGTAACTTATGCAAAGTCATGGAAAAAGCAATTATGTATGAGCTTACCCCTTTCCTAATAGAAAATAAAGTGATTCCAAGGTCCCAGAATGGTTTTCTCCCCAGGAGATCAACAGACACTAACTTGCTACATTGTCTAAATAATTGGACCATTAATATGGATAAGGGAGAACCAGTAGATGTTGTTTACGTGGACTATGAGAAAGCCTTTGACAAAGTTCCTATAGAAAGGTTGTTGTACATGCTAAATCATTTTGGAGTTCGAGGTGACTTGTTAAAGTGGATTTCATGCTTCCTCAGAAACCGCTCATATGTAGTAAGTTCAAATTGCGTCCTCTCATCAAAACATCCGGTCAATAGTGGCGTACCTCAGGGCTCAGTGCTGGGTCTACTGCTGTTTATCACCTATATTGCTGACTTGGATGATGTAGTGAATTCCAACATTAGTTTCTTTGCGGACGACACAAAACTTTTTTGCAACCCCAACCAGCAACACCAAATACTTCAAAATGACCTAAACACAATTACCAAATGGACAGAAACCTGGATGCTTAGCCTAAATGACACCAAATGCTCAGTTTTGCATATAGGCCGTAACAATCCCAAGATACAATATCAAATAAACAACGTACCTGTTCTAAAAACTCAACATCAAATGGATCTTGGAGTTATGGGGGGTCTCATCTGATCTGAAGTGGGAACCGCATATCTCCGGCATAGTAAAGAAGTGCAACACACTAATATACCTAATTCAAAAATCCTTCTCCAACAATACAGTTGATTTTATCTCGAAACTTTACAAAACTTATATCAGACCAAAACTTGAGTATGCTAACGCTGTGTGGAGTCCCTTCTACATCAAAGACATCGAGTTACTAGAACGTGTGCAGAGAAAAATCACCAAAATTCCAGCAGCTACTAAAAACCTCTCTTATCCTGATTGCCTAAAAGTTTTTAATTTGATAACTCTTAAAGAAAAAAGAGAAAGAGGAGACCTAATTCAGACCTATAAAATCATCACTGGGTATTATAGTCCAAATATCGACTTGCCTATTTTTCAAGTAAATTTTACTCGTGCACGAGAGCTAAGAGGGCACTCCAGGAAACTTAATAAGGACAAATGTTCTTTGCTGGTAAGAAGAAACTTCATCTCCAACAGAGTTGTGTATAACTGAAATCGACTCCAACAGGACACCGTATGGGCACCTACTGTGAATTCTTTTAAAAATAAATTGGACTCCTTACACTCAGATCTCGTTTTGTGCATTATGTGCAATAAACTTCAATAGTGACTATAGTGACTGTCAGTGCGACTATCAGACAAAAACTTAAAAAGCAATAGACTTTTCCGCCTTATATTGCTGAACTATAATAATAATAAAAATAATAATAATAATAGAAAAATTATTGCATCCTTAAATCTATACAGGGGTATCTACATCTTTCCGTTTTCGTATAATCAACCGATGGCGCACCTCGTATAATCAATGAGGTGCGCCACTCTGTATAAACAACATCTAACTAAAATAGCCTCCAAGTTGAAAACTAGAAAACCGTGCTTCACAAACTATCTAGACAAATTTGGGGAGCAAACGCTTTCACTTGTTTACTCGGTTGCAGAGTACTGCTGACCTGTGTGAGTCAATAGTGCTTGTGTGGTTTCGCTTCTATTAGCAAAAAGGAGCTACAGAATCTGTCACTATTATTTCAAAACTATTGTTTTTCTCTTATTGATCTTATTTTTTTTGTTTGAGTGTGTTGATTTCCAGTGCTTTTAAATCGGTTTATTTTTAGGATAACAGAAAACAAGGGATAAAATCTAGGAAAATCAAGAAAAAAAAAGTTAAAACCAAGCTAAAGAATCTACCCGTAAATAATGGGAATGTGGCAAATTTCTTAACAAGGAAAGCAAGTACATCAATATTAAGTAAAGTTAGTCCTGTTAATGAAAAGGTATCTCTAAAAACTAGAATTAAAGACATGAAAAATAATAAAAAAGCTAAAAAATTGAGAACTAAATTAAACATGGATACCAAAAACTCTAAAAATGCATATACATTATTAGATAATACTAGTGCAGAAGGTAATACTTTGAAAAGTTCTCTAGATAAAAGTAAATCGCAAAATAAAAAACAAAAGAGGAAATTAGATGATGTATCTGGTAGTAATAAAGTTATAACACCTAATATACATACAAAGAAAAAGAAAAAAATTGTACAACAAATAAATAATGACACACCAGCACTAAAAAAGGAACCTATTATTTCTGATAATTTAATAAAAAGAAAGAAACGAATTGAGGCACAGAATAATGAGACAAAAGTATTAGATAAAGAACCTATCAATCCTAGTATATTAAGAAAAAGAAAAAAACAACTTGAATCACTGAAAGCTTTGATAAAAGAAAATAAAAATACGCACAAATCTACCAAGCCAAAGCCAGTGTTAACTTTACGGCAAAAAATGATGAAAAAACTGAAAGCTGCAAGATTTCGATTTTTAAATGAACAAATGTATGTTAGTACAGGCCGGGAAGCGCAAAAAATATTTAATGCAGACAAGGACGCTTTTAAAGCTTATCATGATGGCTACAGGCAACAGGTGAATCAATGGCCATTGAATCCTTTAGATGTTATTATAAAATCTATTATCAAAATGTAAGCACACATGGATGTAACAAATACACAACTTTTTGTAGCATAATATTAACATGCTCAAAATCGAAATGCAAGTAATATAATAATTATTCATATAAACAGATCAACAAATAATGCTTATATATTAAAATACAGAAAATTTTGATTCCTCTCTACTTAACAATACATATACTAAGGGCTGGCAAAGGTTAGTCTTGGGTCGAGATTTCCGTATGGAGGAAGAGTACAATGCGTTTATAATGTACTGAACAAAGAGGGAACAGTAAACACGTTGCCAAGCGTATGAATTAAACCGAAAAACTGTGCACATTGCTAAGAGACGTGGAAGCGGATAAGCAGATTTGTCGCAGTCAACCGGTCGCCCTCTGTCAGTACTTAAAGTTCTAGGGAAAGGTGTGCATCGTGCGTTCAGCTTCACGATTTAATTACGTCTCGTGATACTTTATTTGTTTATTTATCAACGAGTCGTTGTAATTTTCCCTATAGCTTGAAAATTTTTAAGTGTAAGCTAGAAACACTTGCATTTTTGGTAAAAATAAGTGGAATTGAGTTGGTGTTCGACAGTGGTCGCGCTATTAGAACTCTGAATTCAAAAATCGATATCTTGAAATCTATTATAAATCATTGATTATAGTTTTTTCAAAAACTTGCTTAATATTTCTGCTGTATTGTCTTCGTAGATAGTATATGAAAATCTTTATCAATAAAAAAATTACACTATTGCTGAAACTTGCTATGCTCTAAAAGTAAATGGGATGGGTTGTTTACAATTTTCGAATGGAAAAAAACAACCTTATCGAATTTTTCTTATGTAAACATATTGTAAAAGATCCGATCTTCAATGAAAAAAAGTTTCAATATCTAAAGTGGTTCTTGAGTTATGGCGTGTTATGTGTTAAAAAGTTCAGTTTTTAAATTATCGCGATTATTGACGTTTTCCCGTTATAAAAAAAATGACACCTTAACGATATCTTTATAATTCCATTTCAGATGCTCAGAAACATGTCTAAGGATTTTATCTAGTTATCTTTTCGAAAAAAAATTATTTTAAAAATAAGCGGTTTGCGATCGTGATTTTACTTTACTTGATAGGGAAAGGCGTACCGACAACGTCGCAACAGCACACCGTCGCATTTCTCTCACTCCGACTTAATAAGATCCCTATGCGATTTACTTCCACATATGTAAACACCGACCCAAAAGTAACAGTTGCCAGCCCGGTATATGCGTTTTGTATGAAAACAAATATTTTAGATATGTTTAGATAGATGGACACTTTTTTATTATTATTTTTAAAATTTATCTCCTAGAGAATTAAATAGAATGCTACAAAAACATTGCGTCTCGTAAAAATCTTGTGATGTATTATGTATCTGAGTTAAATTTTTAGGCCTAAGACACATATTATTGCCGATTTTGGATGTGGTGAAGCAAGATTGGCCAAAGAAGTGAAACAAACGGTACATTCTTTCGACCTTGTAGCTGCAAATAGCACGGTAACAGCATGCGATATGGCCAAGGTACCATTAGAAGATGGCACAGTTGACGTAGCTGTTTTTTGCTTATCTTTAATGGGTACAAATTTACAAGATTATTTAAGAGAAGCTAATCGAGTCCTAAAACTAGGGTAAGTACCAAGGTTATTAAAAGATAAGGTTGTCTCGTAACTCGATCCGCCAGTATCGAAAACGTCATCTACTACGTCATAGGAACGATACCGCTCATAGATAAAGGGATAAAAATTTCCCACAGTCCGACAGTGCATTTCTGAATCGATATTCATTGTGTACTTTATTGTTTATAGTGTATGGCGTCAATAGTTTTCAGTTGTTTGATGTGTGTTTTCTTTATTGTATTGTCCATTTATCTTTCTTTGTCGGTTGCATTTTATTTTTTATTCCTTTTATCTATGATTTTATACGTTCTATAGCGTCAGAGGGATGCTATTCCGCTTCGCTCCTATTGGTCCAAAAGTTACGAGACAACCTTATCTTTTAATAACCTTGGGTAAGTACACTTTTTTTTAACCTTAAGATATCATTTTGTATTTATATGCTACAATTAATTTTAGTGGAATATTCAAAATAGCGGAAGTGGAAAGCCGATTTGAAGATATAAATCATTTTATAAAAAGCTGTGAACAATACGGTTTCAAGAAGCATTGGTTGGATCTTTCACACAATTTATTTTATTTTATAGATTTAAAAAAATCGAGTAACGTAAAAACTAAAAGTAGATTATCACAAATTACTCTGCAACCGTGCCTTTATAAACGCAGGTAAAAATAAATTAATTTAAAAACAAATGTGTTTTATTATAAAAATATTAATATAAAAAAAATTCGCATACATTAAATTATATAAATTAAAAAGTTTTCTAAATAACAAATAATAAACTTAATTGCAAAAACGTTAAAAAAAGAATAATTTAACAATACCTATCATGGAATATTAGGAAGATCTAATGCATTAAGAGGATTTTCGTCACCATATAAGACATCTTCGGCTTCTTCCCGTAGATTTTCTACTTTTTCTAGCAAGAGCATCTATATTAATAAGGATCAATCAGTTTCCAGGTTAACAGTAAAGCTATAGAATTTTTGATAAAATTTCGGTTGTCAAATTTTTATTATTATAAGATTATAATAAAATAATAAGGTTTTATTTTAAACTATTAATAAACATTTCTCTTCATGCTTTGTTATACCGGCCATTCAAGTGATGATTCAAACTATGCTGTATTTTTACATATAGTCAAAAAATACGCAACAAATGGATCTCTTTATATTATTTCTTGTTCTACACGGGGTGTTTCAAACTCTCGTGGAGAGATTCCTCACATAAAAACTTAGATCTTATAAACTTCGCATAAAAATAAGATTTTTTTTATATCAACTTAGTTCCGATTCTTGGTATGACTTTTTTTCTCTTGCTAATACAATTGTGTAGGACGTTTAATGCCATTTAAAAGTTGTATTGATACAATAACGGCGTCAGCGATGGCTATGAAATGAAGATCGCTGTCATTTTATATGTAAAATTATATGGGGAGTGTCATAGATCGTTATTTCCAAGCCAACTGGACGCCGTTTTGTTTTTATCATACGGTAGTTTTCAAAACGCGTACTTGAGCGGTTTTAAATTCTTGATGCAAAATTCAATACCACACAGAGAAAACGTACGAACGCATTTTTCCTCTCTTTTAATTGTTTTAACGTTTGACTTCTATTAGTATACCTCTATCATTACCATAGATCATTACCTTACAGGTTAGAACGCAAATTACACATTTGGGATAACTAGGCCAGTATAAAATGCTTATAGAAATATCGGCATTAAGACGAAAACTTAAAATCTAAATATACAGGGTGAGTCTTAAATAAGTGCAAATATTTTCAGGGCTGGTAGATTTTGATAAAAGAAACATATTTTCTCATTATCGATTTTCAAATAGGTCCCAAAAACAGAGTCATTTTACTTTGAAAATTTCCAAAAAAAAAATGATTTTTTGCTTAAATTTTAAGAACTGCTGTATCTTTTTTGGGTTTTCTTTCGTGTAAATTTAATCTATTACCTGTGTGGCCATATTATCAAGAAATTATGTTTTTTAACTAAACACTCAAAAAATTTGCGAAAAAACCTCATAATCGTGTTTCGGGGGTCGAAATATACTACCCCTAAAAATATTTGCACTTATTTAAGACTCACCCTGTGAATTCTGTATGTTCTCCTATAATTATTAAAATTACAAAGTGATTGTTACCCGCAGGGAATTCTAAAAAATGTATTAACGCACTCCATAAGTAGTCCAACGACTACATTACTATTACAGAGAATTTCTTTATGACACCCCTCAAAAAAACAAAAAAATAAAAATCCCTTCACGATAATCCAATAGATATTGGTTTAAGATTTATTTTAAATAATATACCAATTAAACATGTTACCTTAGAAGCTGCTATTAACTGAGCAGCGACTCCCCTTGAAAGGAATTCTATATTCTGGACTAACTCATCTATAGTAGATTTTGCGATGCTCTGGAGGTTTCTATAACCGGCATTGTACAGTTGTTTAGCTCTAGTCTAAAAGTTAAAGGAAATATACTAGAGTACCATCTTGCTATAAGTGGTTTTGAAATATTTTATGTTTTTAGTAATAACTGTTTGATTGAGTATTAAAGAAGTTAATAAATTCAAAATTGAAATAATTATTTTTAGTATTGTTTTTTTATCTGCTGCACGGCTGCCGTCTAACAGTTTAAATAGAAATGCTGCTGTTAAAAATGTATCTGGTAAAAATATATAAAATCTGTCTTAAGTCTTTCCTAAAAAGACTTAAATCTATTTCTATTTCGGAATAAAGATTTAAATCACAAATCATTTTGAAAGTCAGCTTATTCAAAAGTAAAGTCAAGTCAAGTCATTTTTACAATCTTAAGTCATTTTTCGAAAAATTACTTAAAATCAAATGACTAAAGTCATTAAAATGATTTAAATCAGAAGAGCCTCAAGTTTTCTGCGAGCCTACAGCTCTGCGCTCAGTTAAAAATTAAAAACAATTTTTCACAATTATCTGAGCGTCTAATCCGCCCTTAACGTCTGATTAAAAAGGTTGTACTGTATTATAATATAATATTATAAACCTATATAGAAAATTTTAAACATACCTGTTTTACCGATGGTAAATCCATAAGAGGTAATAATTCTTTAACGCAGCAATGAGACAACCTTTGACTCAACCCTTTTAGCAAATAAGAAAATGACCAAAATTCTTCTAACTGATCACAAAAATTAACTACGTTTGAGGCGAAAGTAGCGGATGTCGTCATCAAATTCTGTACGATTCCTCGATGGATCTAAAAATAAAGGCGTTTTCATGGAACAAAAGTCTATTGTATAATATAGCTTACTTGAAATTTGTTAGACACTTTGAAAACGGGGGATTCTTTCCATAAATCATAAAGAATAAGCGTCACATAAAACCTATTGAGGACTCTTTCTGGTATTTGCTGGAAGTTAATAAAATTAGTAAATAAAAATAATTGAATTATATATATATGAATCTGAAATTTAATAGTAGTAATGAGTGCAATGACATTTTGGAGAAATAACGAAAATGCAATATTCATGATTTTTTTTGGTGAGAAAATCTGAATTAACAAATAAGAAATTGGTTATTTACATACTTGTTTATCTTTTCGAATTATAATACCAAAAAATGACTTTTGAGTTTGTTGCGCTTTTTGTGTAAATTTGTATTTTTGTTTATTTTATAACTGATTTTAAGCAAAGTATATAAATCTGAAAAGAGATTGTGTCAGAACTTGAATTACAGGAACATTAGGTATTGTGAAACTGTACCGATCTGGTCATCAAAACTGCATGGTCTGGATTTTAACGCGTAAGATAGTGATGTAGACAGCTTAATGTAAAATGAAATGTATTAAAAAGAAATAAAAGTTGGGTTGATACATTTTACCTATGCGGTATTGTCGGCAAATATATATTGTATATAAGCAAATTAAACTCTGTTTTAATTTTTAGAATATGTTTATTATATTATTAATAATTAAAAAAATAATTATTAAAAAAACTCAATATTACTAATTAAAAAAAAATAATAAGCTTAGACAGTCTTTATTTATTTAAGTAGTTGAAAAGCACTTAATATATATATATATATATATATATTTCTAATCACCAAAGTTCTAATTCATTTAATAACTAATTTTCTAATCATCATTCACAATTTCTTGATATCATTATTGGTGACAGGCAAGTAAAATTGTATTTGAAAAGTTTTTTTTTAAACGTAGCAAAAACAATGAAAGTACATATTTAAAAATATTAATAAAAATATCTAAGTAACTGAAACATAATAACTAAGTTCTGAAACCTCGACTGAAACTTGCAAAACAAAAACTTTAAAATGTAAATACATATATAAAAATAAATTTGCAGTAAGCAAAATAGTAAAATAAACTTGCTCAAAACGATTCAAATGACACAAGCTTAATCAAGACAATTTTCTTTAATTCATTTATAATTAATAATTATTTTTATTTACCATGCATTATTAATGCCAAAAATACCCAGAAATCCGACAAAATAAAACCACTTTCAAACTGTTTTACGCAAAAAATATATGTATTAAAAATGAAATAATTGAATTCTAACGCCACGGTACACCGCGATCGACCCACACAGGCGAAAAAGCTATTATTTTCCAACTCGGCTTCTCGTACTGCCGCATCTCGACCGCCGCCCGTTATGCTCATACCAGGTTAAACAACAATGTATCTAAACAACTGCTTATTTTCTATACGTTATTCTCCAACCTGTTGCAGGCCCAACAACGACAATCGGCCGATGCAGCAGCGTTACTTTCCCACTGCGGTTATCTCGCCCGTCAGGCGTTATGCCCGCAACAGTTGCAACTGTTTAAAAAAAAGTTGCTTATTTTATATACTGTTATTTTTAAGCTGTTGCAAGCCCATCGACCGATGCAGCAACGTTCGCCGTGGCGCATTCCCCACTCCGTAGTATCTCGACTGTCGGCGCGTCGCGTCGCCCGTTATAGATGGTTGGCGAAATAACGGATTTTTCATACTAGTTGTTTTTTGGAATTGCTTAGAGTCGCATATGATTTCATGGCGATGCAGAGCGCCGACTTCGTTTCACGAGCGGTCGATCTCTACGTGTCGTTATTTTATATCTGTTATTTTTTAGAAGTAGCAACGGTTGCGTTATGTTATTTCCAAATAACTGTTGTAAAATAACAGATAGTTAAATAACAACCCATCTCTATCTCTGTCGCCTGCACTAAAATACAGACCACGCAGTTTCGATGTGAGAAGTAGACATTCTGTTCAGTTTTAATATATTTAATATACCTTTGGCACCTGTCCAGTTGTCATTTTTAATATAACACCTTCATCAAATCCCAATATTCTAGAAGTTTGCTGTTCTTTTTCATCTAACTGTGTAAGCTAAAATTATCAGATTTGGTATCTTGTATTATTATATATTTAGTTAAAATTACCACTTCATGATAAATTTGTATATTAGGTCTCACTTGGTCTGAAGTCTCATATGGTGTTACCAGGTATAGTAAATGTAAACAATTCAATAAAACCAAACTCTTTTGGGCCTTATAAAGATCATCATAAAGCTGGTGAGCCCTAGATAGTTCTAAACCACCTAAAAGAGTTTATCTTGTATCAGTTATTATTGTGTAATTTTCTTACAAAGTTCTAGATAAAAAATTTTTCAATAGAAATATTTTTTTAATTTATGATAGTACTATTTTATTCATACTATCAGTTTGATTACTTTCAATTTTTTGTGCGGCCAAAAGAAAAGAGCTTACCTTTTATTGCTGCACAACCCAAATTGCTGACGACCAATTTTGTATTGCTGGTTAAGACAACAGATCTTTTAGGTTTAGTAGGATTGCTGGCAACATCTGTTAAGGGTGTGTTAAAGGGACTCTAAAAAATTATTATCCTTTTTCTAATCGTTCTTATAAATTTAACAAATTAGAAATAATAATAAAACATCAACATAACCGAATATATGAAATCGCCCCCAGCCGCTATTTTAAAACCACGTGGTTTGGAAGGCCGATTTTTTTTTGCTGTTTTCTAATCTACTTTGTTCTGAATGCCATCTATATCTACACTATGTAGTTTAAAACAAATGTTTTAGGATCTTCTTATAAACTTTGGACGTAAAATCGCGTTTAAAACGATAAAAACTGTTTTAAACCATAAAAGTTTTGTTTAAAAATAAAAAATAAGTTATTTTCGAATCTGCTCTTGATATTGATTTTTTTAGTAATTATAAGTCAAAAATATTTAAATAGCTAAAATATACGTTCATAATAATCGTATAAGTCAAGAAAAATATATTGAAAGCAACATTTATTGGAAAAATTATAAAAACAAAATTTTAATATTTTTTACATATTATGGTGCTAACAATTTATTTTATGAAATAGGACTAGATACTAACACTGCTTAATCCAACCGATGACGTATCCAGTTTGACGGAGATGTTAAGCCCTAGATCTGTTTCTTTTCCTTTTGAACAACTTTCCTCTAAAGCGCCTAATTTAAATAGACTTTTTATAACGTTATCGGTTAGTTTTTTAATGTTGACGTTTAATTTTTCGATCTGTACGGCCATCAGAGTGGAGTTGGATACATTTTGTAATTGTGATCTTGTGTTTGCTATTCCCAAACTTATGCAACTCAAGAGCAAATGCCTAAAAATTGCGATTCCTAATTATCCATAAGCCTCCAAGTGATTTTTACTATTCGAGGGTAATATGAAAAGATTCTGACTTCACACTGTAACAGTGCCGCAGATAAAGTTCATAAGCATCATGTGGAACTTTTTTTTTATTTATTGACTTAGGTTATTAAAAACGATTTAAGAAAATGTTGCCTGTTGTCTCCAGGTATCTGTCAAATTTTACATTTTTGTGTACCAATTTTCAGTCATCTAGATGAAATAAAATTTTGTATTTTTTAATCAATAGCATCCGATTCTCGTTGTAGAAGCAAAAATAACTGATAGTAGTTCGTTTGTTAGTTAAATATTTACCTAGCGCTCATATATTCAGTTAAATTTATTGAGTTTGTTAATAGTTTTTAAAGAAAAATAAATTTAGTTATAAAAAGTAGACAAAAGGTGATGCAAAGTATGATAACTTCCGCATTTATCTTATATGTATATTAAAATTCTAAAATACTTTATATACAAAAAAATGTTCATTTTTTAATTCTCCATGTAACAAAGAAATTATTTTTGAATGTGGTGGACAATGATTCGTATTGAAAATAAAAGGATTTCGGACTTCCATTGTCTTTGTTTATTTTGATTAACACAACGTTTCGGTCAGAAAGATCACTGACCGTTATCAAGTGTGAACTAAACTATGTAATTCCTAAAACTACTGAGCTTTTATACTGCGGTCAGGGATTCACACGTGAAAATGTTGGGTGCAGTCAACCGTAAGGTCGGTTATATTATGCTGTTTTGACCAAATATGGTCCGCAATACCTGACTTCATTGTTTCACCATTTTGAACACGTTTTTTTTTGCTCGCTGAGTCGTACATTTAGAGGACGTTTAGTCTACCCAATATACGACTCACCGCATTCACCTGGTAGATACACTCTTTCTCTTGTTTCGATGACTCTGGTCTTGTTTTTGTTAGGACACTTCTTAGAGTCGATCCAGATTTTAAAACAGTTTTAATTTTATACTTTTTGGCTATTCGCCTGATCTTTTCTGACGTTCCTTTTACATATGAAATAGTCAAGAGAGAGAGAGCATCCTCCTCAGGTCGATGAACCAATGAGTCAGTTTTACAATTTGATATAATTTTGACTACGGACTTCTCAGAGTAACAATTCTGAACCAAATCCGTTTCAATGGTATTTAATCTAATTTTTAGCAATGCTTGGTCAGTGCATATGGTGTTTGCTCGATGACATAAAGTTTTAATTATTCCTTTCTTAGTTCCTTCAGAGTGGTTTGACTGAAAACTTAAATATTGCCTCGTGTGTGTGGGTTTTCTGTATACAGAAGTCTTATACAGATTGTTAACTGGACGGTTACTTAACTTATTGGGGAACAGAATGGCAACACTGCCTACATTCCAAATGAGTACTAAGCTAAGATGCCTCGTCCCGTCGCGTCGTCTCACAAGTCGGGCCGAGGTTGCCATATTTCAACCATAAAGCTCTTGCCGCGAGTAATAAACAAATTAACAACCTGTATATCCCCCATTTCTACTAACAAGGACATCTAGAAACATCTGTCTTCCATTTATAAATGTTTCATTGTTCCATATGTAAAAGGAACGTCAGAAAATATCAGGCGAATAGTCAAAAAGTATAACATTAAAACTGTCTTCAAATCTGGATTGACTCTAAGAAGTACCCTAACAGAAACAAGACCAGAGTCATCAAAACAAGGGAAATAGTGTATCTACCAGGTAAATGCGATGAGTCCTTGTGAATGCGGTGGGTCGTATATTGGAGAGACTAAACGTCCTCTAAATGTACGACTCAGCAAGCACAAAAAACGTGTACAAAATGGTGAAACAATAAAGTCAGGTATTGCGGACCATGATTGGTCAAAACAGCATAATATAAAGTGGTCAGAAGCCCTGGTTATCCACAGGGAATCTCATTGGAAAAAAATTTATAAGCCATTTTTATTGCTTTTTTAGCAACCCTAGTACCGAAATACCTACGATATGGCAACCACTGATAAAACGCTCCAATGCAGGCATTCTATGTGGTCGACCTCACGGTTGACTGCACCCAACTTTTTTACGGGTGAATGCGTGAAAAATAATTGCGTGAATGCGGGTGAAATAAAAGCTCAGTAGTTTTAGGAATTAGTTTAGTTTACACTTTGTGTTAATCAAAATAAATGAAGACAATGGAAGTCCGAAATCCTTTTTATTAATATAATTTATATTTTTTATTTATTTATTAATATTTCTCAAACTATCAAAACATATTAAATATCTTAGGATTATGTAAAGTGATCAGAAAGGAAGCCAAAAATGCAATAATATACAGGGTTAGTTCCATTTAAAAAAAATCATCCCAACTTACTCACACTTTTTTGAGCCACCCTGTAGAAGTTAAAATATTTTCCTGAAATACATCCTAATAGATATAAAAAAAACTTTAGGTGTATAACTAACAGTATACAGTATAAAAAATAGGCTGTAAAACTTTTTTGTGTACAATATTATCAAAAAGTACTTTATGACTACCAAGAGTACTGAATGAAAATTTAATTTAAACATTATAGTAAGAGTATTCTTGACCATAAACCTTGTTGATTACAGTTGAGGGTTGGAACCTTTGGTGTTACACAGCAAAATAAAAACATTAAATCACCACAATACACCAAAACACTTTTACTTTTACACTGGACGCGCGTTTCGCTAACAATGTTAGCATCATCAGCAGATGATTATAAACTAAAGTACAATCTACAAGTTGAGCGTTTATATACTCGCTCAGTGGGCACCGAGTGGGCGTGGCAAAATCTAGCCAAACCGAGTCAGAGCCAACTGAGCGTAACAGTTAAATTTCCGCCACTAGAGTAGTAGGAACAAAGAACTTGAAGGAATTGGACCGTTGACTCTGTTCATACTATCTTTACATTTATTAATTCTGATGCTTTCATATGCATCTAATTGTCTGTAATTTGAGACTTGTTTAATTAATTTTAAATTATTAAGATCTATACAATGTTCATTATCAACAATATGTTCGGCAACGCAAGATTTATCCGGTCTACCATATCTTATCTGAGCTAAATGTTCTTTAAATCTAGTTAATATTGATCTTCTAGTTTGCCCAACATATTTCTGATTACAATCTTTACTACAGTCATATTTCACCTAAGTCAATAAATTAAAAAAGTTCCATATAATGTATCTGTTACACTGTATATGGCAACATTCATGCAACAAAAAATCCAAATTTTATTTGAAAGTCAGTATTAATTATATTTGGAAAGTAAGTTTTAAACTTTTTGTTAAAAATCAATCAAATGGGGGTTTGTGCAACGATTTCGCTGTCACCTGTTATAAAAAATCCTTTTTGTTAGAGCCTTTAAAATCTGAGTACTAAAAGGTTTAAATAAACTTTCAAATGAAAAGGCATACCTTAAACCCCTGCCATCTAATTCATGTAAGCTTGATATTGCTTGATTCATTGGACTCAACAGAAGTTTTTTGACCTTTGGCATATCAGATGTTTGTGCTATTATAATGCTTTCGCCTGTTTCTCCCAACCCCGCTCGACCAGCTCTGCCTGCCATTTGTTTGTACTTTGACAGAGTAATAAATTCCCTGCCTACATAAGGGGATCTAATAATTACCTAATAAAAGAAAAATACCAGTTAAAATACACCAGCAGCAACCAAGATGCAGATATAAAAATATCTTCATCTTCTGTTTGATAACTATCTATACTATACAGGGTGAGTTTTCTAGGATGTTCTCTATGAGTATCTCGGAAACTACTGAAGCTAGAGAGTCGGTTAAATGGGAAAAGGATTGCAGTTTCGTGGGGTCATAAATATGTGCCTCAGATTTTTGAAAGTTTATGGCTTACTAGATATTTCCAAAAAAACAAATTTCGGCTATTTTAAAAATGCTCCCTAATTCCATTAAAATCTATTTTAACGAAAAGTTTTCAGATAAAAATTGTAGATAATCACATCCTTAATGAGATTCTGTCCTCCGTTTTCTTCTAAAGCCTGTCATTTTTGACATAAAAGTTATTCCATATGACACAAACATATGTTTTTTAAATGGAAACCATAGTTGGCCATTACTTACTTACACCTATTACTTCTTAAATGCGTTATTTTTAAAGCTTTCCAGCGATATAAGCTATATAGTTCAGTCATTGGGGATTTTTGCTTGGAAAAAAGTCCGGAAGTTTTGCAACTTTGCAGGTTTATAGGTTTTGGGGTCCCTAACTAAAATCCATAAAATGCACATTTCCAGACTTGCCGCCGGCGCCGCCATCTTGCGAAGATGGCGCCCAAAATCGGTATTTTGTGAATATCTTGAAAACTATGTGTTTTTCGCGAAAATTTGAGTAGAGCAAAATTAAAGAGAATAAAATTTTCTATAAAAAAGGTTTTATTAAAATTTTCGCTAAAGTCAACCGTTTAGGCACAAAATCCCTGGAAATCTTACAATTTTGCGTAAAATATGATATATTATGTATAGTCGATTTTCCGAAATCAAATGTCGATTAGGGTTCACTAAAACTAGTTTTAGTTTAGTTTCTTCAATTTTGTCATGAAACAGTGGCGTATCATTAATTCGCTCATTAATTTATGAATAATTAATTTTAATTATTGAAAATGTGTACTTGTTTCCACACCACCCAAGAGGTAAAGTACATGGCGCGTTTATTTTAACGTGGTCTCCCCGGATGTCTACTCCACTAGGTAAATTAAAAACTTTAACTTATCTGCACAAGCCCGACGGACCTGGCTCATTGATGTCAAAGTCGATCGTGTCTGCTGTGCTGGGCTCATCAGGGTGGTCTCTCAATACGTCCAACTCTTCATCTTCAGCCGCCAGAGGGATATCTACAGGCAAGTCCAACTCCTCTTCATCGGATTCGTCGAGTGACACTTCAGTGATATTGTCACAGGATTTCCCATTGCAGTATGCACAAATTATTGAACATTTTAATCCTGCTTTTCTGCATCCGCAGGCTTTACCACAGTTGTTGGTTTTGCATTTACAGGATAAAAATGCCACTAGGGATTTTGGAGCTGGAGCTGGATCTGTCAACGTTGTGACTGGAGTAATACCTGTTTTTGTTTTCTTACAACCCCATTCTTCGGCATCTTTGGTACAACCAGACCAATGCTGAACCTGGTGGTAAGTTCGCAATGAATGCTGTCCAGCACGACAATTAATTATTCATAAATTAATGAGCGAATTAATGATACGCCGCTGTTTCATGACAAAATTGAAGAAACTAAACTAAAACTAGTTTTAGTGAATACTAATCGACATTTGATTTCGGAAAATCGACTATAGTATGTATATCATACTTTACGCAAAATTGTAAAATTTCCAGGGATTTTGTACCTAAACGGTTGACTTTAGCGAACATTTTCATATAACCTTTTTATAGGAAATTTTATTCTCTTTAATTTTGCTCTCTTCAAATTTTTGCGAAAAACGCGTTTTCGAGATATTTACAAAATACCGATTTTGGGCGCCATCTTGGCACGATGGCGGCGCCGCACGACCACCGTAAATGGAAAAATTACGGGGACACTCGATTTTGTTTTTGAAATAAAGGAAATAATTGTTATTTATAATGTTTTTATGTAAAATTACATTCATCAAAAAGATTTTTTACATTTTTACCTTCCTATTTTATATACAGGGTGTTCAATTAGTGCGATAAAGTCCAGTATCTCGTTTGCTATTAAGAATTTCAAAATAATGCTAATACAAAAGTTATAAGTAATAACAAATTGCTTCTTGTTAAAATATTTTTAATTATACGGGGTGTGTCAGAAAAGTGCTACAGACCAAACTTTTTAAATAAAACACCCTATATATTTTTTAAGATTTCAATTCCTGGTACTTTTTCCAGCATTTTGATATAGGGGTGAATGGTTTATACTATGTGTATCAAAAGTTACAGCCATTTTTATTTTTGACGCTCTATACCATTTACAGTACCTAATATTATTTTGTTTTATTGCGTCAGGATATTAACAAGATGGTATTTTGTCATTTTATTTGTTGGATTTACAAGTGAATATTACAACTTAAAACAATGTTGACAATGATATTGTGTTACTTGGGTATTTTAACTGAATGTATTTACTGATCTACAAAATGCTTTCTTTATCAAGGCTTCCTCTGGAGAAAATGGTGGCATCTCGTTGTTTGACCTTTCTAAATTTTTTATTTTTGCCAACTCTTCTGGACTAGAAATCGTAGCTTTTTTGATGGCAAAAGCAACATTTCTCTTTCATTTTTTTGTATATCCAGTCTGAGTAGCAAACGCAAGTTCAGCAGGACTATATTGAGAAACCAATTCTTGTGTTCGACTTCTCTTAGTACTAACATCACTAAATTATTTTGAGTTCTTTTGCGAAGGCGTTTTTGCATGTTACTGAAAGGTGCTTTGGGACTTAGATTTATAAACATATTCGTTAAGCCAAATTACATGTTTCTTTAAAAAGTCTTTCTTATTTCGATAGCACCTTTTCCAACGTAAAGCAATTTGAGTTGAAAACCATGATATTTTTTCGGCCATCTTTTTTCTCACAACTAAAGAAATGGCACTTTCCATCCAGCCATTTTCATTCAAAAGCTCAAATAAGTGTTTTCGACTCATGCCCGAAACTGTACATAATAGGAAAAAAATAAAAATTTCACAAGACTGCACCTATCAGCAGCTATATATTGTTACACGATAGGCAGATATACTAGCTTTAAAATAAATTTGTTGTTGTTTTGACGGTGACAATTGTTTGACGGTGAAGAAAAGAGTCGTTTTTTTTTCTGAGCCTTCCATTCTTTAAACTTTAATAAAGTTGTAAATACTTCTTTGACAACTAATTATATCAAAATTCGTGTTTCGAAATAAGTAACTAAACTTACCTAACAAATGAGCAGACATGTCTGAATTAAAAAACAAACCATGATATTCTAATCTCAACACAACTACCAAAACGAACTTCAAGATACTCGAGAACAAATTCTATATAAATGAGCATTTATATTTTTGTTTACTTTGTCCGCAATTTTATCGCATTCCGATCTACCAAATACAAAACTCTGATATACAAGTAAGATGGGACTTTATTCTATTTATAAAATTATACATACTATCAATCTTCGGTGAAGACAAACTTATCACCTAATGTCCCCGTAATATTTACATTTAGACCACTGTGCGCCGGCGGCAAGTCTGGAAATGTGCATTTTATGGATTTTAGTTAGGGACCCCAAAACCTATAAACCTGCAAAGTTTCAAAACTTCCGGACTTTTTTCCTAGCAGGCTCCTTTTTTGATCCCCAATGGCTGAACTTGGAACAGTTCCAAATATCTGTTCCGGCCGTTCCGCCTGTTACTTTCATAACATACAGTGAACCGTACCATAAGCTGAACGTAACAGAAATAATTTCTAAATTGCTGCCGGTTACGTTGTTACATGGAACCGAAACAGTAATTTTCGGAATATGATGACTGTTATGGACTGTTCCAAAATCACTGTTCCTAGGATTTTATTTCAACTCTAATACAGGGTGTCTTAAATAAGTGCAAATATTTTTTAGGTGTTATATTTCAACCCCAAGAACACGTTAATCATTTTTTTAAAATTTTTTTTGATATTTTTTTTTATTACCTTGATATGGCAAAATGGGTAGTAGTAGATTTATTTATTTATATAAATTTAGATGAAGGAAAAAATTGAAAAAATCAGTGGTAAAATATTTTTGAAGCGAAAAATTCAAGACCGTAACACGACACGGCCTTGACACACGAGCTAGCGATAAAGAAAAGTGGTAAATCAATGAGGAAGTTGAGATGGGTCTTTGGAGTGTCGTAACTCGGGCCCTATGTGAGCTAGGGTGTTGAATCTCGGAATGTAGATGCGGCTCGAAAAATCATGAACAGAGCGCCATATTTTCATGATATTTTGATGAAGTTGGGTGTACTATGAAACCCCATCATCAATGGCGAAAAAATCGTCCCATTAATGGGTCTTTGAAACGTCGTACCTTGGGCCCTATGTGAGCTAGGGGGCTGATACTCGGAATGTAGATATTTCCATGATATTTTGACGTTTCGTGCACTACGAAACCCCATCATCAATGAATCGTCCGATTTAAATGAAATTTGGTATGTCGATAGATTGGACCAAGGTGTCAAGTTACGTTTGACGTAATAAACGTCAACAGTTGATGTCTCTAAATGCCTCTAATTAATAATGGGTCGATTGGAACTAGTGATGGGAACACCGGTTCCACATGAGTCGCGTTACAATAGCGACCGTTCCAGAATAATACCGCGATTTTGTAACCGAGGTTCCGACTTCCAAAGTGTAGCGATCCTCGCTAAAAATATATCTAACTTATCTATATTCGTAGATTAATGTAACTCCGCCACTCATTTTTCAAATATCGAGTTTATAATTGTGTATAGGCAATCTATCTCATTTTTATTTTCCATTAATTTTCGTTTAAATAAAATCAACGGCTCGTATTTATGTGTATTGCAATATAATATATTTAATGTTAAGATCAAGAACAAAGTCCAAACCACTGTAATTTTTTTTTATTGACCTAACCTAACTTTAAAAATAGATATAAACAATAAAAATTATATAAATGTATGAAAGCAAATAAAATATTTTTATTTTATTTTATTTGCTTTTGCGTTTCATCTTTCAAACAACGCTATTTTATACCATGCCTAGTACATACCAAAAATCGCTATTTCGAAAGTAACGTAGCGACGGGAGCACCAACGCCAGTAGTAAGCAACCAAATCGCGACAGGTAAAACCGGAATCCTAGAAGCGCTCCAGCGACTGCTGGAAGGAAGTACGTCGCCGCCGAGGTCGAGCGTCGATAGCCAGATACAGCAGGGACCAGTTACTTCTGTTCGCGACAGACGAAACTACGGCTCTAGGAGCGCGACGCGACGGCTGGAGCGAAGTTATGTCGCCGCGCCGCCGAGGTCGAGCGTCGATAATCAGTTACAGCAGTTACCAGTCCGTTCGCGACAGGCGGAACTACGGCTCTAGGAGCGCGGCGGCTGGAGCGAACACGCGCGACGTTACATACATACCAGTGCCAGTTACTACTCTAGGCGACAGACGAAATCGCGACGGCTGGAGCTACACACGTCGCTATGCGGTTACTACGGTTCCAGCTAACTTCAAGAGCAATTATAAATAATTTATTTGCAAATTATAAATATTTATTTAATTAAAACTAATCCCAGCTACTTAAATATCAAATTACCTAATAAAACTAAAGTAATAATTCAAAACAATTCAAACATAACCTAAAATAAAAGATCTCGCCGGCCGGCCCCGTTTGTCAAGTACCCGTGCATGCCCATTTAAGCAATTTTTAAACGTTATTTAGAAATAGCGCTTGGTGTAAATGATCCGCAAATTACGTCAGGCGGTAACGTTATTAGCGGGTGTTGCGTTAAAAATTGACTCGCGCATATCGTAACCATGATAAAGTACGCGTAAATACTGCATGGCGCTATTCGGTTTTCCGATATCTCTCTAATAACTGTGCCGGTCAGGCGCTGTGCACAATCTTAGAGGCCATAAGTGGGCGTGCTATGTGCGCAAACTAGTAACCTAACTAGTGCCCGATTCCGAAAATTGGAACCACGAAAAACAATAAAGAAAAAACAAAGTTTTCGCGTTACAAAAAACAGAATCGCGTTACCCAAATACCGACACATCACTAATTGGAACCAAACTTGGCATGTGGATAGAGGTATCCGAATGGAGTCCTCAGACGGACAGACAGACAGACGGAAGTAAGAAGTGCACACATAGTGAACACACAATTTTTTTATTTAAATATTCAAAGTAAAATATATCGGCTAGTTTAGATTTATTTGAAAAACGGCAAAGAGAAAATAAATTTTTAGCAACATCTACTAATCCTGAAAATATTTTCACTTATTTAGGACTTGACTATTTTCACGGATTTAGGACCCCTGTATAAATGTAACGCGCATATTATTTTGACACATTTTAATGTATTACCCTTCTCGCTGGTAAATTGACACCTGCTGCTAACGTAGAAGTACAACAAATGACACATATCGTTCCAGATCTAAACGCGTCTTCTAAGAGTCTTCTCTCATCACCGGTCAACCCTAAAAATAAATACAAATTTAATAACCACATTCGTTAACTCATTTTTTTAAAATACCGGAATGATGATAAGCAAAACCAAATGGAACAGACAGTTTTAATATATCACAAAGTTCGCCGGCTTCTGATTTCAAGGCTTGTAAAAGTTGATCTTTTTCCACTTTTCTGTGATTTTTTAAGTCTCTAAAAAACTACGAGTTTAATCTTTGAATAAAAAAATTAAGGAAGAAGCATATCAAAAAACATAAGTTGAGCGCGATGGGGATCTAATATAGAAGACTTAAATTCCGGTTTATCAGTGCCGTTCTAATTTTATTTAAACGTGTAAAAATATAATGCAGAGTAGACTCAAACACGATTCAATAGTTGTTTTATTTTACGTGGTCAATAAATGTTAGTGGTTATTAAAATTGTTACAAAAATATATATTTCTAATAAAAATAGATTACAATAATTATTTAACAAGTATCAGATACGCTACTGAAGCCAAATTGACGTATATTAGTTTTATTTTTGACAAAATTAATTTTGGAATAATAAACAAAATACAAGAAAAATGTATTCATAAATGATTGGTTTATTACAAATTCAAATGTTTCAATTGAACCGTCAAACAGAACTGTCAAGGTCAGGCACGTATGATGTCGATTACGTCTATCATGTATGAATACATGGATAAGTATTATACTTCTTTAATCATTTTATTCAAAGCGTTTAATAGAGTACTAAACCTAAAAAAATACATACGGTCTAGCTAATTTACATAAAAGATTAACCACATTCTCGCAGTTCTTTTTTGAAGCGCAAAATATCAGACAAGAATCCTTTGGAATAATTTCTAAAGCTAAACCACATAGCATATCAGGATCCAGCTGTTTGAACGACTCTGAATACTATAAAAAAATTATATGAAGTATAAATATTAATGACAACCAGTGACTAATGAATACAAGGACGCGTAACGCCCATATACGGGCTGGAGCAGAATTTGTGCTATTAGACGCCATCATTTTGGAGCCTACGGATGAGTCACCAGCTCGTTAACAGTGTTGTGTGTAGTGAACTTTGTATAAAAAATTAAATTTTTTATTATAATCGTGATGGTTTGGTTGTAGCTGCATCCGTTGCAGCTTTTAAGTGTAAAAGTTGCAACGATAAGAAAGAGCCTGGAGTTACGTTTTATAGATAAATAAACAGTCCACTCCACCTTTTTAGCATTTTCTTATTGAATTTAATAATTATTTTTCTGATATATGTACTTGATATGCCCTATACGTCGATACTAGTTTTGTACTTTTTGTTAACATTTTAATACGTTTTTTTGTAATTAATTAGTACGATAGCACTGCATACACCATAGGCGTAGTCAAAACATTTATCAAAAATACAAATACGTATCTCTTCAAGCAGCTAAATTAAGAAAAATATGTGGCTACGGCACTGTTTGGAACCACGGTAACAATGTGGTCTCGGGTGTTATTTGTCCTTGTATTCTTTAGCCATTGATGATAACAGTAATTTTCTTTACATTATAATCAACATTCTTTATATTGGTGAAGAGATCTTCCTCGTTTTTACAATTCCAGTTGATTTTAGCCATTTCCGTTCCACATTTAACATATTCCATAAGATCAACGGGCCTAAAATCTTTAGCGTATACTTTCGCTTTTAAAAAATCACAAATATCTTTAATATTTCCGATAGTGGCGCTCATACCAATGATTTGAATGTTTGCTAAAAATGTTAAAATTAAACCGTTAAAATCTAGTAATTATATCGTTGATTAAATAAATAATGCTTGATGTGCAACCTTATGAGCGATTTCGTGGCACACACTTGTCCGAGATGTAGCTGACGTGTCCGCTAGTTAACCTGTCCGAGATTTAGTTTAGCCCCGCGCCGCTGCGCGCTGATAGATATTTACAGGGCAGCAGATAAAAAATACTGTACCGTAGTTCTACTTTTAGTCGACAAACAATTATCGGCGCCAGAGTTGTCTTGGAAATGAAGATCCCTGTTATTTCATATGTAAAATATTATGGTAAATATCAATAGTCGTCATTTCCATAGCCAACTAAACGACTTTTTTCGATCATACGAAATATTCAGTACCTGCTATAAAAGTAAAAAGTAAAGTAAAGATTTCAGTTAACGTCTTCTTTTTGTTGCCAGGGCTAATCTGGACGGGGCCTACTTTGTTTACGTGGAATCCGAACCGCGGTCCTCGGCCTAGCGGTCAGTGGCCTACCGACTTAGGAAGTGTCTAAATTAACTCTTACTCACGAGATATCCGATCTCATCCGGCCTCGAACCGACGCGGCGTGAATGAGCAGTGTGTATAAATAGATTTTACACTTTTCCCTTGGACAACAGCACGATACAGAGTTTCGAACCGGTCACCCGACCATCGCCGTTACGTCGCTTAACTTCGGTGTTCTAATGGGAACCGGTATTTCAACGTAGCTAGGCCATTGCCTTAAAAATAATTTTTATTTTTGTTGTTTATTCTATGTTTAACACAAATACATTTTCAATACATAAACGCGGATTATTCATTCAAAGATATTTTCGTCAGACATATTACAGATATTACACATTTTAATATGGCAACACTGTCACTCTCAGTTTCGCACCATCTTCGATATGCCTTCGCTAGCTGAATTAGACAAAATAAGTGTTTTATGCGTTGGCCACAGAACAGGTAGAGGCTCCACAGTACAGCACTTGCGACGTAAGGGGAATTCAAATCAGCCTTGTCCCGAATTTGCCCATTAAGTTGCGTATCTTCCCAATTCTTTCAATCAACGATTATATGTATATAACATAATTAACATTTTGCATCTTAGATTTCTAAACGAGTAGAGGTTTGGTCAGTTATAGTCGTGACAAATTAAGAAGGCACAAACGGTTAAAAGAAAACGTGTGACTGATAAAGGCAATTTTCTTATCTTTCCTCTTATATGAAGAAGATCTTAATAAACTGCACTGAAAATGAACTTGTGCAGCTTTTTTGATAGCACATTGTTAATAAGAGTTATTGATATTTTTGATGCACTTGAGCAATAATACTGCACACAAAAACTAGCGTGGAATAGCCAGTATCCAAAATTTGAAGTCCAATAAATTATTTCATTGTTTTGATTACCTAATTTAAACCGACACCATATGTTAAAAACTTAAATAATGCATGCATATGCAATTTTACCTTGTTTATGAAAATAAGTCTAGACTATATTTTTAGAAAGCTCATAACAAGGCAAAGAAAACAAAAATAATATAGAGGGTATCCCATTTAAAAAAAACTAAGTTTGGGTCATATTTCAAAAATGACAGTTCCCAGCGAAAATCTAGTTACGCCACTGAATTCTACGTGAAAAACTCTGTGGGATATAGGTTTCAACTTTTCGATAAGTTATAAGATAACCGAGATATAAAGGGGTCGAAAAATCCAACATTTCCAAAGTCGCCCTGTATTTCACAAACCAAAGGGGCTAGAACAAATTTGAGTGCAGCATCTTAAGTTTTCAAACACAGTGATGTGAAAACCGTATCTTTGTATATCTACTCACAAACGAGAATCCCTGTAAAACACAGGAAAATGGGACACCCTGTACTTTAAAAAATTCAGTAAGTTACATTATATCACACTGAATTTTTCAAACACGCTAATAGTACTGCGCAATCGCCAAACTATTGTTTGGAATAGTTCTAAAACGAACTGGAAGAAACTGTATAGTAATTATATAATTAATAATTTATTTTACCGTTTAAAAACATTAATTTTGTTAGAAGAGTTTCTAAAACTGCTCCTCTGCCTTGATCTCCTATTAAATGTAATTCATCAATGACTACAAGTCCTATTTCATTCAGTCTGTTTGTTTCTATAAGACTGTTAACTAATCCTAAAGCCTTTTCAATTGTAGCTATATATACAGAATGTTTCCTTCTTCGTTTTCGCGGTGGATATACACCTTTACTGGATGCATATTCCTCTACTAAAAAATCCAATGCAACGCCAAACGGAGAGAAGTCCCACACCTAAAATATTTATATTACTGATTATATTACAGTGAGATCACCTAAAAGGAACCTGCCATTTTCCACTATATCAGAAATTCAAATTCATATAATGTAGACAATACCTTAATCAAATTGTCAATATTATAGTTAACAATTTTAACATTAAAAATATTTCCGTTCTCCTATAGTATGATATATTGCATATGTATATGCCATATAACGTTCTGGCAAAGGAATACTTTGCATAGGAGATTTTCAGTGCGATAAAGAAAGATGACACGGCTGCAGCCTACCCTGCAGTGTAACAACGACAGATTTTCTCTTCCACTGATTAGAAAAAGTTACGCGATGAGGGAGGAGATTGCTTCTGCGAGAGGGGGCGGGGCCACAAGCATCCGCCTTGCGTCGGCGACAAAACTTCGACAAAAAAACTTAGTAACGAGTGACAGAACAGGGCTGCCAGATTCTAATTCGATATATGAGGACAAAATGTTAGGTAGATTTAGCTTTGTTTCAGATTTCAGTAAATGCATTTTTTACCTATTTGATGATATATTATTTATAAATCAAAATCAAAAGCTTTTTAACTAAATAATTAGATAATTTTTCACAGCTTCCTTTTATTAACAAATATCGATATTTCATCAAATAATCAAACAAAAGTATAACAAACTATACAAACAAAATAAAGTATAATGTTTAAGTACAAAATTGGTATTCCTAGAATTGAACACGCATATAAAATACAATCGCCAAAAAATCAAATTAATTTTCGTGGACAGAAGAAAAACAATACAAAGATCTTTTCAGCTTAATGAGTTAAGTGGTTCATGATTTTGTTTATCTCAGATCAAACTTAAACGACGAAGGCAATTGTAAAATAGAAATTAGACGCAGAATATAGTTAGCAAAAACTGACACAACGCGCCTTGCAAGAATATGGCAGAGCAGAATAATAACAACCCACACTGCATACAATTGTCTTCTCAATATTTCTATATGGTGTGGAATCCCAGACCATCAAATCATCAGAAAGGCGCTTTTGAAATGTGGTGCTACAAACGCGTATAATGAGAATACCTTGGACAGCTAGAAGAACGAATCTGTCAATAATAAATGAGCTTAACATAAGCACCCAACTATCGGCTATCTGTCTGAAACGCATCCTCGTTGGACACATTGCGAGTGCCATTGGACACTTTTTATATTGATAAAAAGAGAGTTGGGAGTTGCTACGAACGAGAGAAATACGAGAATTACGAACAAAAATATTTGTTCGTATTTAGTTTGTTTCTTAACTCTAGATTGTGTTCTTTATTTATTTTTTGGGGAAAAATGAGAGTTAAACCACAGATTATAAACTTTGTTTTTTCTTTATTGTTTTTCGTGGTTGCAATTTTCGGAATCGGGCACTAGTTAGGTTACTAGTTTGCGCACATAGCACGCCCACTTATGGCCTCTAAAATTGTGCACAGCGCCTGACCGGTACAGTTATTAGAGAGATATCGGAAAACCGAATAGCGTTATGCAGTATTTACACGTACCTTATCATGGTTACGATATGCGCGAGTCAATTTTTAACGCAACACACGCTAATAACGTTACCGCCTGACGTAATTTGCGGATCAATTACACCAAGCGCTATTTCTAAATAACATTTAAAAATTGCTTAAATGGGCATGTGCGGGTATATGACAACCGGGGCCTGCCGGCGAGATCTTTTATTTTAGGTTATGTTTGAATTGTTTTGAATTATTACTTTAGTTTTATTAGGTAATTTGATATTTAAGTAGCGGGGATTAGTTTTAATTAAATAAATATGGCCCAAAATATGGATTCTACCTCTTCCAATATTAAAGAACCTATAAAGAGGTTTAGGTTTACAGCAGATGACGACTTAGCCCATCTAAGAGAATTTGTTGCTTGTTGTCCTAAACCCACTGGCAGACGTTGAACAATAAAGCATTGGAAATAAGCACTTTAGCCCTTTAGTTTTAAAATACCTAGTAAACAAAACAATTTCAAAGTTTTAAATTCAAAGTTAGGTTAAGTTTAAATAGCGGATGCGACGCGAACAGAATTCTCTCCGATCCGATAACTATAAATGAAGAGATTACCACCTCACATAAAGTAAATAACACCTGGCCTTATTAACGTCCATGCACGCTATTCGGTTTAGCGATATCTCTCTATTACGCTGTTTATTGTTATTTTACGCGAGTTTATTTTTGCGCACAGCAAATTTTACTCGTTTGCACATCGTCATAAAAAACAATTTTCGTGCCACGAATTAGGGACAAGATTTTTATCTGTATACTTATAGGATACCTAATCTATGGTTAAACTTTAGTAGATGAATGAGACAAAATGTTTTTGAAGATATCATCTTCGGAAATGCCGGCAATTTTTTGGGAATGTCTAATTTTGCGACAAGACAGAACAATGACCTATCATTTCTAAACAAAATTTAATAAACAATAATATTTACGAATGTCAGATTATACGGTTTACGACGCGATGGTCGCTTAATTTTTAGTCCAAATATGTCACATTTCTTTTTAGTCCAAATATTTCACATTTTTACAAGTGCTTCTATTGTAAATACTAAAGACGCAGTTGAATATATCGCTAGATTTTTGTTTAAATCGGTAGCTTACAGACGAAATCGGTAGACCTGGCAACCCTGTGATGGACATCCGCCTGTGTACCTATTCTTGACCACTCGCATCTTCAAATATCGCTCGCATCTCCAAAAAATCTATACAGGTTGTTAATTTGTTTATTACTCGCGGTAAGAGCTTTATGGTTGAAATATGGCAACCTCGGCCCGCTCGTCGAGATAGGACGCGACGGGACAGGACGGGACGAGTCGGCAGCTTAGCTTAGTACTCATTTGGAATGTAGGCAGTCTTGCCATTCTGTTCCCCCATAAGTAACCCTCCAGTTAACAACCTGTGTAACAATACACGTGATGCGTGTACGCAAAGCTGCGAACGATGTCAAGAATAGGTACCCTGGCGCGACGCGGAGGCGCGGGAGGAGAAATAATATTAATGGCGACTTAATACGATAATTTTATTACACGATTAGACTGAAACTAAAAGAATTTCGTACTTCCATTGTCTTTATTTATTTTTGATTAACACAACGTACGTTTCCGTCAGAACGATTACTGACCATTATCAAATCTATCAAATATATTATTATTTATCAAATTATCAAAAGTTCTCCAAAAGAAGATCGATAAATAAACTTTTGAAGCTCACTAGAATTATGTATAACAATTGCTGAAAAAACATATAGGTGGTACTAACGAATAGGATCCACCAAACTAACAAAAAAAAACTTGCTATAAATATGAGGCGTCAAGTTGTAAAACCCGTCTTATCCCACAAACGTTGTTTCGAGATAATCAGCAAAAACTGTTTTAGCACATGTTTGAAGCGTTAATTTACAAAAAACGGGTCCATTGAGTGGAACCATTGTTTTGTATCTCGTTTTTCTAGAAATAAAAATTAATATTTAATTTTTAATATTATATTATTAATTAATATTATTATTACAAAATTAATATTTAATTTTTAAACAAAAAAAAACAGAAATAATTCAGATAAGGCGGGTTTTGTTGCAGTATGATGCATATTGGCTATGGAATGAAGAATGCTCATTTTATACCGATTTGGTCATCGAAACTGTGCGGTGACAGTGATGTAGACAGCTTAATGGAAAATCAAATGTATTAAAAAAAGATAAAAATTGAGTCAACACATTTCTTCTATGTGGTATTGCCAGTTTTGTAACTTGACGCCTCATATATTCACCAAAGTAATGAAGAAAGGCTCATTATGGATGTGTATTATACAAAAAGGCAGGATGTATTCAATGTTGAAAAAGGTGCACATTATATAACATTTGTTTAAATCAATTGTTAAAACTAAATTCCTCAAATTGTTCATTATCAAAATGATTATGATAAGTGATGAATGATATGATATTTCAGATTTTACCCAGTAGCAGGCTGGTAATGTCTACTTATGAACTTGAATTCAAAAATATTATTGTTGTTTTACCTTTTCTTGAACAATTGCTATATATGGCAAAATAAAAATAGCATTTTGTTGGAAACATAATAATTCTCTTAGCATAAGAATTTCGGCTACTAAGGTTTTACCACCACTAGTAGGTAGTGTATATATCAAGTTGTTTCTATTTTGAATTGCTAAATTTAAACATTCATTCTGCCAATCTGAAAAGAAATCTCTTTAAATTGGTGTATTTGTTAATTAAATATGTGTTACCTACCATATAATTTATCAATTCCTTTATATTGCTTTATTAAATTTGCTACTTTATCTGGTAGGTCATAAAAATCCCCTAATTTGTAAAATTTTGAAGGTGGTTCAGAAAAACTATGACTTAAAGATAGATCTAGAGTCTTCTCCCTGTTTGACTGCATATTTTTACTAACATTTTTCAGCAAAGTTTGTTTGAGGGCAGTTCCAAAGCTAGATTCCGCAATATTAAGTAAACTGTCATCTCTTGAACTACTAGCCATCAAACTGCCATGAAGCTTTTCATGTATTTGCTTTTCAAAAAACTGTGGTCCATTAATATTTATATCTAATGTTGTATTTAGATTACTTGAAAAAAAATCATCTAAAATTTTGTCAGGAATTGTATGTTCACCACCTGTATTAGTACCATATGTACTAATGTAATGTTCTATTTGTTCAAAAATATCATCAACTTCTTTTTTGTAGCCTAATGTTACTTTTTTATTACTAAATAATAATGATCTGTTATGAATTTGATTTGGTAAACTTTCTAATAAAGTTTTTTGCTTAGAATTATCTACCTGATTAGGTTTGTTATTGTTTGTTTTCATATCTAACTTTTGGTTAATATTCTCCTCTTCAATGCTTATAACTGTGTCTATATGATTTATGACTTGTGTATTAAATGCTTGAGAAAATCCATCTTGAAATATAGTCTGCTGATGGCTTAATGAATCACTGGTTCTGTTACTATATCGGACATTGGAATCTGTAGTATTACTTTTATAAATATCAGATATGTTTAAATTTTCTAATGTATCTTCAAAAATATCAGCACTGGACATATTACTATTTTGACTAGAGGGAGATTTGATTCTATCCAATTTTAATCTCTTTTCACAGGGATAGAAAGTATCCAAATTATTTTGTCTTTTAATGGGATCATTGATAATACTTTCATTGATACTTTCTAATGAATTATCAATACCATAATTTTCCAAAGATAATTGTTCTGATGAAGATCCTAAAATTATTTATCAAACGCATTACATATAGGTATACAAAAATCAGATTTTGAGCCATGTTCTAAAAGTAATAATTGAAATTAAAAAAAACATTCAATTTTCCTTTTTTTATAGAAATGTTTATTTTTGGAAATTTTCGTTATAGAGATATAGGTACTGATTAGTATTAGAAGGGTATTAGCACAGGTATTAGCTTGTCCCTTACCTTTTGTAGGATTCTTTTGAACAGGATACATTTTGAATTCCTCATGTGTAGGATTGATAACTTGGTAACCAATAACTTTCATGTAGAGTTATTAACATTTTTTTAATTTATCTAAATCATGATGGTTAGTAATAATAGTCATTGAAGAAAAACACAATTGAGGCGTAAAAAAATGAAAAAAATGAACACTAAAATTATTAGATCTATACTCAATTTTAACTCAAATTTACAAATACAGAACCATACAGAACAAAATGTTGATTTAGAAAGAAACACAGAACACAGGATTACTACAAATATTAAATCAAAGATACAAATATGATACAAATATTAAAGAAAAACTTTTAAATGTGTTTTAAATTAAATGCAATTAAATGTAAATAAATAAAAACAAACCAGATTTAACCTAAAAATCAGGGTTGTTCCTTCAAAATTTTCGATCATGGATCAAACAACTTTTAAATTCTGCATATTCAGTTGAAAATATGCATCTGTGGTAATTTAACTTTGTATCCGAAGGGTCGGTGATTCCACATGGAAAGTAGATCTTAGATCTTTATTGTGGTGCATATTGAATACTTATTGAGGTAAAGGCGTGGTAAAGGTGTGGATCCGGTGGCTGACCTTGAAGCCCATATTTGCTGCATTTGATCATCGATACTACGCAAGCGCACATCGTCGATGTTGCCAAATTGCAGTTTATTTTCGAATTATTTGCAGTTGAAATTTTTTTTGCGTGTTAATCAATAATAATACAAATTCTATAATTAATTTTATAATTTCAGATTTATCTTGATATCCAAAATTAAGGTAAGAAGGATAATGAAGATTGTGAAATGAAAGTATTATGAATATATAAAATTGTAATAATAATAACATTTATTTATATATTTACATTAGAATTAAAATTTATCATTTACGGATTTTTTCTTAATGGTTTTAAACTTATTAGAATTATTTTATTTCTTTCAAGTTATTTAATTTCTAGTTATTTACAAGCAACAATAGTTTTGATTATATGTATTGATGTTTTGAGGTACTACCATGACGGGTCTTATTGTCTTATTATAGAACAATACACGTCAATCGGAGATAGAGGTAACATTTTACCTATAATGTTACTAATATAATATACTTTGATTATAATTAATGTTTGTATCATAATTTCTTAAAAATATCAAGTTAGTGGATTAATAGCAATTTTAGACATATATTAAAATATATCTTCGATAAATCGAAGAGTGTGTGTTGATAAGACTGAAATAAGCTTTATGTTTTATCTTTTTCTCTTTAGAAGGGAGATGGTTTGTATCGTAGAATACATTACAGTATTTAATATCGTGTACTTTGATATTCTTTTCTTAATTTACTTAATTTCTTGTTTCCTATAATGCTAAATCTTGACAATATGGTGAAGGTTGAGTTTTGATCTTATTAGTTTTATAAGAATAATAATAATAATAGAAATACAAGACTAAATTAAGACTTAGTTTGTGATTTATATTAAAATCTTTCTTATAATATTTGTTATGTCTTAATCTTAATACTATATATTATGCTTGGTCTGGAAAATAAAAGTTAAAATATTTTAATTTTGCATATCCTATTCCATCCTTCCACTAGGAAAAATATGGTTTATAAATCATATATGCTAAGAAAATCACATAAATTAGGTGTAAGAATAGAGAAATCTTAATGTAGCAGAAAAATTAATGCAATATATGTATAAGCAGAATTGAACAAGGTAACTGATGATGTTAATGTTGCTGAAGCTGATTCTACAATTTTAGTTACGGAGGCTAAAAGGCCTTTTAAGGCCTCCGTAGTTTTGATGAAATGTTAAAAAAACCTATTATGAACATGACATGGAGCTACAGCTTAAAAAAAAAGAAAAAACTTGGACACATCCCTGAGTTTTTTAATAAAGCACTTTTTAAACGTAACATAATAATCTAGATGGGAATCTAGAGTTTTATTTCTATATAATTTTATTGACTATGAAAATACATAATAAGCGTTCACGTGTTGTGCGAAATATTAAAATAATAATATAAATAATATACCGCATATTATGATTGAAAAAAAAATAGCGTCACCGATGACCATGAAATGAAGATCGCTGTCATTTTATATGGGAAATGTCCTCAATCGTCATTTCCCAGCCAACTGGACGCCGTTTTTTCGATCATACGGTATATATTGACGAAAAAACACTGAAAAGCACATATTTGTTTTCTACTGTAAATAATTCCAAAATAACTCGCAATCTGGCAACATCAAAGATGTGCGCATGCGTAGTGTCTGTGACAATATGCAGCAAAAACTCGTTTCAAGGTCAGCCATCGACAAATATCGATATGGCGCGGTAGACACAAACCATAGATATTTTTAAAAACAGATCATATAAAAATTATATATGACCACGAAAAGTATAAGAAAAGGATGACACACGGTGTAAACGATGTATCCCCGGACTCTATATTACGTTTACGACGTCACTGAAGTACCCTTTTAAAGTGCGAAGAGTGAACTGCCTTTAACATATGCCTTTAACCTTTGAATAAGAAGTATGGAGTGTAGAGGTAAGGAGAAACAACTCCGTGCATTAAAAAATGGTCAAAAAAAGGGAAGAATTAGGATGGCGCTGCTGTAGCAAAAACCTAAAATTTAAGACATGCGCCGAACATTTTTAGAACAGCTGATTCAAACTGTGATTCAAAAGACATAAATATTTGACGTGAATCATATACGTGAAGCCGCGGGTTTCAAAAAAATACAAATTTATTTTTATGTCACATGAAATAAATTACAGATTTTTATTCAGCAGCAATAGACTAGGCTCTTTTTATTGCTGCTCTCATAAGTTATTTCGCAAATGTCATTCAAGACGACGAAAACATTATTCTGATCGTTTTAGCTTAAAATTAATGTTAATTATAATTAAGAAAAAATTATTTAAGGTAATAATTGGTGATGGGTTTAAAATAAATATAATGCAGCTTTAAAATAACTTCATACCTACATTTATTTAGTATAAAAAGTAAGTCAACATGTGGTTTTATTATCAATTATTCAGAAGCAATAGACTGAGCCTCTTTTATTTTTTCTCATAAGTTATTTCGTAAAATCTCATTCAAGATGAAAAAAAGCTTTAGTTTAAAATTAATGTTAATTATAATTAGGAAAACTTTATTTAAAGTTTAATTGATGATATGGGATTTAAATAAATATAATGCAGGTCAAAAATAACGTAACACATTTTATTTAGTATAAAAATTAAGCCAATATAATGTAATTTTATACTGTACAAGTATTTATTTACGTTTTGCCATCGTAGTTGCCATTCATTCAGAATAGTGGATTTTAAATATATTTGGTAGTCGGATGGTTTAACTATCGTAACTACTTTTAATAATTCTTTTTCTCAATTCTTTGCACTATAATTTGCATCCCACGTATTGTAATATTTTCCTTTGAATTTCGTTTCCTATTGTCCCACGGCTTGAGACGTAATGTTATAGCCCTTCCAGATCCTCATGTATATGTCCCTTTTCCTTGTAGTCCACCCAATAGAACCTTTCTCTTAGCTTCCTCTCAAGTTGGTGTTTCCATTCATTAAGAATAGTGGATTTTAAACATGTTTTGTACTCGGATGGTTTAACTACTGTAACATCGTAAATAAATTGTATACCAACACATAATGGCCAAACTTCAACAGACTTTAATATTCATAAACCTCATCAGAAGAAAATATTTTTGATCCAAAGTTTTTTTCGTTATTAGAATAAATTACCTGGAATTTGTTAATTCATTACAACATTGAATAAAAGATGCAAAGTGTTTATACATACTATAATAGATAAATCTTCATTTAAAATTATGTGATAGATCTGCTTGCTTGTAGGATCTAGACTGATAAACTCAATTTCTATTATTGATATAACCAATAAAGTAGTAATGCTGAAATTTTGTTTTTGATTTGTGCAATAAGGTCCATTATTTCCATTATTTGATGCTGTTATTGCTCTACAAAATGTTGATCTCTATCAAGGGATAATTATGTGTATAATATTACTATTTATGTGTATAATAATACTGTATGATCGAAAAAACACGGCGTGCAGTTGGTTTGAAATGAACATCTCGATGACATTCTCCATATCATTTTACATATAAGATGACAGCAATCTTCATTTCATAGGCATCGCTGACGCTGTTTTTATATTCAATCAAATTGTACTTACGTATATAATATTCATTTAATGGTTCCTGCTTTAGTTGCTGGTGTTCATATTTTGGTTTTTTATTCTGTTGTTGCTCTACAAAATGTTAATATTTATGTGTATAACATTACTCTTTCTTTGTATAATAATAATAATATGTGTATAATATTCATTTAATGGTGCCCTTCTTGCTTGTTGCTGTTGTTGCAACTCAGAATTTAAATTAACCTGAGGCAGTAGGTAGAGCTTCATCCTCCAACATTTTCCTATGTAAATACTGCAAGTGGACAGTATTTCTGATGACAATTTTATCATAAACTTTAACATCTTGTTCTTTAAAACGAAACTGCCATGCCTTATCTGTAGATTTCAAAGCAATATCTAAATGCTTTTGACCATCGCTGTAATCTAATTCTTGTTTGAAAATCAATACGTAATATTATCCTGATGATTTTGATTTTTGATAGATTATTAAAATACAGCACTTACAGTTAACTATATTTCTTGAAAGTACCTAGAACCATCCTAGAACCATCCTAGAACTTTATTTATTTCCTACTTTTATTTGTTTAAAAAAATGCCAACAATTTGTGCATGTCTGTCAAACTTTAAAATCATTAAAAATAAATTTTATTCAGGTTGTAACTTTATAGAAAGGATTATAAAAATATACTTTGTAACATGTATGTCAATAATCTTACGAAAAATGTTTACTACACTTTTTGATTGACTCTAATTTTACATATAATACAAATAATACAATACTGAATTATAATTATGTATTTTACAGGCTTTGCCTTTGTTCTTTATTTTTCCATCAGCTATTCAATCAACTTCGCACCACACACACTTTAACCATTATTAAATAATAAATAAAGCACAAAATATTGATAAACAATAATTATTTTATATTCTAAAAATAAAAACAAAACTTTTTGGGTAATGTTTGGTTATATTTATTTTTATTCTCTTATCTATGGTTACTTTTCATTTTTTAGATTTATGCGTTTTTAGCGCCACTGTGGTCATTTGGCGAACCCTTATTCTTCCCATTTTGTGACCACTTTTTCAATAAAAGTCCCATAAGAGTTATTTCTCCTTACCTCTACACTCCATAATAAGAAGGAAGGAGCATATCAAAAATCTTAGTACACCGCGATGGGCCTCAAATATGGCCGACTTAAATTCCGGTTTATCAGTGTCGTTCTGATTTTATTTAAAAAATGTAAAACTATGATGTAGGGTAGACGTGGGGTAGACTCAATAATTTGTTGTTTTATTTTACGTTGTGAATAAATGTTGGTAGTTATTAAAATTGTTATAAAAATATATAATTCTAATAAAAATAGATAAGTTATAATAAGTATTTATTACCACAAACATCCGATACGCTACTGAAGCAGGTAAGTCAAATTAACGTATCTAAATTCTTTGACATCTAATCTTTGACAAGTAATAAATAAAAGCTAAAATGTAAGAAAAATATATAATTTAGTTAATTTAAGTGAATTTCATAAATGATCGGTTTACTACACGTATGTATATTATATAGTCACTTACTAGCGAAAAGTTGTTCCATTATTTCACTCAATTTTTGCCGAGATCTACCGCACGCTACACAACCAACTATATATATAGAGTCTTTTTCGATAAATCGCGATAGTGTCACTGTTAATTTAAGTGCTGCCACAATTTCCATCTAGATTTACTACCTTTATACAACTATCAGTAGTAGAATAAATAATAAATAACATAAAATAAGCTCCGTAAAGACTGACAAATCCACAAAATTTCAAATCAAATTCAAATGTGTCAAATGAATCGTCAAACAGAACTGCCAAGGATCCCCACCCTAGAGTGCTTTTATGGTGCTTTTTCCGCCCACCATGCATGAATACATGGATAGCATTATGCTCCTTCCTTAGTCTTCTTATTCAAAGCCCTTAACTCAAGCCTTTCTAACTTAATTATCTTCATTATTTGTCTATTTGTGTTTTTAAAACTTTTTCCTATTTATTTGGTTTTAAAAACTTAAATACGCCTAGAGAAATAAAGCATTAAAATTGTTACTGTATTTTCACAAAAACGTAAATATTTTAAAACTCACCTTAAAACATTTAAAAATTACCCCAAATTTACCAATAGTTTTTAAAAATCGGACAAGTGCTATGCACTGATTTACCAATTTTACCATTGCTATTCGCTACCGTCGGCGTTGTTTCTTGCTGCTTTGTGTGTTATTTGGTCGAGTCGTTTCTTAAAACTAACCAAAATAAAGAAAATTCAGAATAAAATTCTTTTTTCAATTTTCCATTTTTAATCAAAAATTAAATATATAAACTATACAAGTTCTAAGAACAAAATATTTTAAGTACACAAGTATAAACAATATCACTAAAATATTAATAGCTTAAAATTATAAAATAATGTATATTATGTATTTTCATTGAGGTTTATACCTACAAGAGATAAAACCATAGTATATAACTGTGATATAACTAAAGGGTTTTCATTAATCATACTCTTTAGTAGGTGATTCCTGTCGCAATTTTTCAACATCGTTGAATATAACTTGCGCACCGCCACCGCAAGTTGGAACAATATCACCTTTGTATAATTTTGTTTCCATTTCTCCATCAGTATCTGGTTCTTGAGCTACAAGGCAGTATCTGTTTTGTTTTGGATTTGTAACATCACTAGCCTTGTCAAGCTTGGAAACTGATTTTCTTTTTTTCATAGTGGGTTGCATAACTGTACCCAGAGGACATGGTTTGATTACATTGTGCTCAAGCCAAACTTCACCTGAAGAAATATTGAAATATTCCAAATTTTATATGGTATACAGCTAGGGTAATCAGGAATGGTCCGAAAAAGATTCGTATCACACTTTCTTTTTGAGATTTTATTTGTTTAAGTGCAAACCTAAAGTATGTACCAGGATGTATGTCCATAAAATATTTTAACTTCTAGGGTAGGTAGTTCAAAAACGTGTGAGTGGATCTGGATGATTTTTTTAAAATTGATCACCCTGTATATCATTGCATTTTTGGCTTCCTTCAGATCACTTTACATGATCCTAATATATGAGTAAATCTATTTCGATAGTTTCAGAGATATTAAAAAATAGATCAAAAATATATATTTTTCATCTCTTCTTAAAAAAAAATATTAAAAATACAAGAACTGTTTTGAAATCAAAAGTATATTAGATATTTACTTTAGATGGTCTGTTCTTACTTTGCTATAAATATGGTAATCGTTAATCCTACAGAATGTTCAATATTTTACGCCAAACTTTCAAAAATATAAAATAATTTTTCTTCGTTTTTTTTTAATGGTATATTGTATATTATTAAACGTACCCTGTATATTATTAAACGTACCCTGTATATTATTTTTTTATTAGATGGAGAATATAAAAATGAACATTTTTTGTATTTAAAGTATTTCAAAATTTTTAATAGTTTTCTGGATACAGGCAGTGTTATTCATATGGCGCTTTCAATGGTAAAATACGAGAGAAAAATCCATCTTCTGTGTAATAATATAATTTTTCTAATATAAAATAATTTTTCTTTGTCTTTTTTTTAAATAGAACACCCTGTATATTATTTTCTTGTTAGATAGAGTTAAAAAATGAACATTTTTTGTATTTAAAGTATTTCAAAATTTTTAATGGTTTCGCAGATACACGCAGTATTATTTTATCATCATTTTCTTTCAACGGTAAAATACGAGAGAAAAATCATTGAGTGGTTTTGATGAAAATTTACTGTGAAAAATACCATATGAAATACAAAATCGGGAATATCTGCGAAATCATTATTCATATCATCAATTTTGAAATACTCTAAATACAAAAAATGTTCATTTTTTAATTCTCCATCTATTGAAAAAATAGTATACAGGGCGTTCCATTAAAAAAAAAACGAAGAAAAATTATTTCATATTTTAGAAAGCTTGGCGTAGAATTTTGAACATCCTGTATGATTTACGATTTCCATATTTATAGCAAAGTAAATACAGACCATCTAAAGTAAATGTCTAATATAGTTTTGATTTTAGGACAGTTCTTGTATTATTAATATTTTTTTTAAGAAAGGCTGAAAGAATTATATAAAGTGATCTTAGTCAAGAGCTAGCAACGTTTTCGAGAAAGTATTCTAAGACGTCTGGCTCTTTGATATATCTTTTACTATGCTCTCTGGAACAGCATCCGGCCCGTTTGGCTACCGAAACCCGTTGCGTTCACTACTGCGCATCGAAAGATTATCCTATATTTTTTATTAATTTTGTCCTATAAATTCTACTATACATGCATAAATATACTACTATACATGCATAAATACCTCCTGGGAGAAACTAAAGAACAACATCAAAGAGGCCGCATGTGAAGCTTTAGGCACCCGGACTATAAAAAGAAATAATAGCACCAAAATAAATAAAACTCCGTGGTTCCGCCCAGAAATTAAAGAAAAATGTAGAGAGAAAAAAATAGCATACCTCAACTACAGAACATTACGCACACGAGAATCATTCGAAACATATAGACGAATCCGAAACGAGACAACAGCACTAGTAAGACAAACCAAAAACCAACATTGGGAAATTTTCTCTAAACGAATGGAGAGTGACTTCTACGGACTTCAAAAACAAATTTGTCGCTTTATAGGAACGCAAAGAAAAGAGATTAACGAGTTAGTTGAAACAAATCACATAGCAAGGGAATCCTGGATTGATTACTTGTCAGAACTATACAAATCAGAAGAAATAGAGGTTGAACTAAATACACCCGAAATAATGACCAACGACAACGTACAGATTGAGGCAGCCGATATAATTACATCCCTTCGAAACAGCAGCTAACATCCCTGATTCAAAAAATTCTTTACCAACACAGGATACCCGATGAATGGCGAACCACTATCTTGATGTTTAAAAGAGGAGATAAGAAGCTGCCCTCAAACTATAGAGGCATAAATCTTCTAAGCACCACACTAAAACTTACGACAAAAGTGATAACAACCAAAATTAACGACTTAACATGCTTAGCAGATGAACAGCAAGGTTTCAGATCGGGCAGATCATGCACAGACGCGGTTTTTGTCATAAGACAGATAACAGAAAAATCAATCGAATATAACAAACCAGCGTATATGTGTTTTATTGATTTAGAAAAAGCGTTCGACCGTGTGCAGCTAAGAGACGTTGTACACCTTCTTTACAATAGGCAAATCCCACACAATCTCGTTAAAACCATACAAAACATATATGAAGCGAACCAAATTCAAGCTAAAATTAACGGGGTCCTGACCGAACCAATAAATGTAGGCTGTGGTATCCGACAAGGTGACTCCCTGAGCCCTCTTCTTTTCAACATGATTATGGACGAAATAATAGGAAATGTACGTTTACTGAAGGGATACAGTATGGGCGACCAGGAAATTACTATTCTATGCTATGAACATCTACAGCGCTTATTACATCGATTTAATTGCACTGCCAAATCACTTAATATGATAATATCGACCCAGAAAACTAAATGCATGACGAGATTAAAAGTACCACTAAGATGCAAACTGGAAGTCGAGGGCAATGTTATTCAGCAAGAGATGAAGTTTAAGTATCTAGGCATAGAAATCTCAGGATATGGTGATGTAGAAGCGGAGGTGCGAGAACGGACAACGAAAGCAACCAGAATAGCAGGATGCCTGAATTATACAATATGGCGAAATAAAAACATTGAGGTGGAGACTAAAGCGAGAATTTACAAAGCAACGGTACGACCAATAATGACATACACTGCAGAAACTCGACCTGATACAGCGAAAACTAAACAACTACTAGAAACAACCGAAATGAGAGTACTACGCAGAATAGCTGGAAAGACGCTTCTGGACAGGGAGAGAAATGAAAGCATAAGAAGAGCGTGCAAGGTGGAAAATGTAAATGAGTGGGTACTCAGCAGAAAGGAAGAATGGAACGACCATATCAGCAGAATGGACCACAGAAGGATAGTGAGAGTTGCACGCGACAAATCACCGCTAGGTCGCAGAAGCTTAGGACGTCCACGAAAACGATGGAGCGACAACTTGTCAGTCTTGCACTTAAACAAAAAAGAGACGACGGTAGAGACGACGAAACCAAACAGGCGACTCGCCTAGTATGAAGAAGGAAGAAGAAGAAGAAGAAGATGAAATTCTACTATTGAATATAAATCGAACATGTCTTCATAGCGCAGTGCGTAGAGTTTCCGACCACGAACCGATGATTCAGAGTTCGAATCCGGGTCAGGTCAAAGAGTTTTTTTATTTTATTTTCGTTTATATTCTGATAGTAAAGTATTAAATCATTCTGGTAATTAAAAAAAAAACAAATATTTAATGCTTTACAATCAGAATATAAACGAAAATAAAATAAAAGTCTTTGACCTGACCCGGATTCGAACTCTGAATCATCGGTTCGTGGTCGGAAACTCTACGCACAGCGCTATGGAGACATGTTCGATTAATATTCAATACTAGAATTTAAAGGACTAATAAAAATATAGGATCTTCTTTCCATGCGCAGTAGAGAACTCAATAATATACAGGGTGTTCCATTTAAAAAAAATCATCCCAATCCACTCACACTTTTTTGAGCCACCCTATAGAAGTTAAAATATTTTCATGAAATACATCCTAGTACACATAATTTAGGTTTGCACTTAAACAAAATTCCAAAGTTTTTTATTCTAGGAGCTAGAGATGCCCGACGCACTATTGCCGGACTCTGTATAGATATTTTATTTATAAATAGGAATAACGGAACTAATAAATAAGTTAACGAGTTAAATGGAAGAACTCAAATTTCTGAATTTCGCTTCTTACCATTTAGAAGTAATTCATATTCTGTTAATATTTGTTGGTTATATTATTTATGTTTTGTTTTTGTGTCAGCGTATAAATCGTTATGGTGTCACAAGCAAATCGTATATCCGATGAACGGATGCATGAAAATCAAGCTTAAGCTTGATTTTCAGGCTTCCGTTAAGCTTGATTTTCATGCATCCGTTGTCCGACGATACGTTGATACGATATTAATTTTATTGGTAGAATTTAAAGAGTTTGATTGGTAAGAAAATAACGCAGCTTTTACCTTGTACAGATGTGATGCGCAGTAGTCTATCGGCGGCAGTCAGACGGCCTGCACTTAGGCCAGAAGAGCACAGGAGAATATAGCAAAAGATATATTAAAAAAACAGCTTTCTTAAAATTCTCGTTTTCCAAACGGTGCTAGCTCTTGTACTATTATATTTTTATTAAGGTTAGACTAAATTTGTCAAAAAAGTATCAAAACGTCCGTTATCGTACGATCTTTCTCCGTTGACGGGCTGAAGTAAAAAATTTATGGATGAAAAGTGGCGCGAAAACGCTATGATCAATCAGAGTGCCGTCGGACCATCGTATCAACGGATAAAGCTTGATTTTCATGCATCCGTTATCTAGATTTACTACCTTTATACAACTATCAGTAGTAGAATAAATAATAAATAACATAAAATAAGCTCCGTAAAGACTGACAAATCCACAAAATTTCAAATCAAATTCAAATGTGTCAAATGAATCGTCAAACAGAACTGTCAGGGATCCCCACCCTAGAGAGCTTTTATGGTGGCTTTTCCGCCCACCATGCATGAATACATGGATAGCATTATGCTCCTTCCTTAGTCTTCTTATTCAAAGGTATGAACGGGTCCGTTGACGGGCTGAAGCAAAATATTTACGAATGAAAAGTGGCGCGAAAACGCTATGACCAATCAGAGCACCGTCGGACCAACGTATCAACGTATAACGGATGCATGAAAATCAAGCTTAAGTCTTGATTTTCATGCATCCGTTATACGTTGATACGTCTTGTAATTTGCCACGACATGTCAAAATTGTATTTTTAATTCGCTATGCTAAAATAATTCCTCATAAACTATTTTTCAATAAACCAATACTAAAAAAATCTCATATGTTGCAAACTTTTTGCACACCCTGTAAACATTTTATTTTTAAAAGCAAAAAGAGTATTGCTTACCTGCTGATCTTGACCTACGGTTTCGAGCGCTTGAAGAAATATTTCTTCTATGCTGCAGTATATTAGAAGCGCTCTTCGGTGTCTGGCTTGTCTGAGATTCGTGAGATTTTGGAGTAAATTCAGGCTCCGGATTGTGAACTTCTACAGGTGGCATTTCGCTGTCGATGATTTCTTTTACAATTCTTAATTTTTGGTCTTTAGCTTTTAACTGTGCGTTTAAATGCTCCCTTTGTCGCCTTAACTTGGCATCTAGTTCTTGGGTCATTTTTTCATTTGCCAGTGCTAGAAAATTACAAGAGAAAGAAAATTAAAAGCAAGATAAGAAATGAGAGTACTTTTTTTTAACAAAAATAAAAATACAGTGTGACCCAGGGTTCTGAAAGAGCTACGTAAAATATGCGGGTACTAGCAGCGTACATTTTAAAAATATTTTTATTATTTAAAAGCTGTAAATTTTTAAGTGGAATGATATATTTTTTTAATTGAGTGGATTTGCTAGTTCCTATTTCAAAAATATCATAATTTCACATTCGATACTGAATGAATAAAAAATAAATCTTATTTTTAGGTGAGGAATCTCCCCACTAGAGATGGCACATGTTTTAACACCCTGTTTAACATCCTATATTTTATGGCAAAAATGGGTGTAATTTTATCCGACCTTTTGTTATGATAAATAAATTTTATATCTAAAACCTAAAACTCATATATACAGGGTGGTCCGAACTGTATTCCGGAAATTTCGGCAGCATATTCGGCACATAAAAATAAGTAAAAAGTTCGTATGTCCTAAAATGATTCGTTTCGGAGATACAGGGTGTAGAAGTTTCATTTTTATTTCGATTTTTTCCAAATAATATTTCATCTAACATCGATAATGAAAATTGGTGTTTGGGTTTTTTCACGTGAAAAATTTGATTTCGATGTCAATATGACTCCCACTTGTAAGGGTCGATACTTACATCTTTTTTAATTGTTTTGAAAAGTAATAACTTTTCGTCCGTCCCTGTATGTCACTACTGAGTGAAAAAATATACATTTGTGCCTTTTTCTACGTAAGAAATGTCTTTTGGTAAAAATCGCTGCTAGCAACCGTTCTCGAGATATTTGGATTCTTATTATTCAATACATGTCATTGACAAAAGATAAACACGTTGAAATGTTAAATTTGGAAACTTTTTATTATTTAAAGCTAATCATAAGTTTTTCTAGAAAAAAATACTGTAAAACAGGTTCTGTTGAATCTTTTGGCTTATTGCCAAACCAAACCAAACCAAAAACATTTCAAATTTATTATTTCAGATTAATAACTATACAGTCAACATGTATAATTTTTGTGAATTCGATGCCAAATATTTTGTGAACCATTACTCATAACGATTTTTACCATGATAACTTTTTTACGTAAAAAATGACGGAAATGTATAGTTCAGTAGTGTAATACAGGAACGGACGAAAAGTTATGACTCTTCAAAACAGTTAAACAAATGTAGGTGGCGCCCCCTACAAGTAGGGGTCATATTGACATTGAAATCAAATTTCTCATGTTAAAAAAACCCAGATACTAATTTTCATCCAAATCCTGGATTCAGTTCAGAAATTATTAGGAAAAAATTTTATGTGCAGAATTTGCTACCGAAGTTTCTGGAATACAGTTCACAGTTCGGACCATCCTGTATACACCAATTTTCCGTTTTAAAATTATTTTTTCCAGCTGCGTCAGTACAATACATTACATTTATTGATTTGCAAGCGAGAAATGAATTAGACGTCTTTAACTAAGTCTCAAACGTCTACTATGAAAAAACACAAGTGTACATTATAAAAAAAACATAATTTTCGCGGTAAATGTCGATTTTAGCCAGTATTTTAGATAGTAAATACCAAATGAAACATAAAGATCTCTGAGAGTAAGTTCGTTTATGATCCATAATAATATAGGGTGTTCCATTTGAAATAATAGACAAAATACAACATTTAATGCTGACTCACCCTGTATATACATAAAAAAATGTAAATTTTTGTAGGTTGAATTTTGACACACTCATATATTTAGTACTTCCCATTAAAGAACATCAAAAATTTTAAGAGAACATTAAATAAATAGTAAATTTAAAATTGCAATATTTCAAAAACCGCTCGGTATAGATACATTATGATCATTTTTGGAATAGTAATAACAAATCCACTGAGCTAAAAAATATAATATATAAAATTTGATTTACAAATATACAACTTTAGTTTCAAAATGTTTGAATCACCCGGTATATTAAGAACCATATTTTTAAAATGCCCATCTGTTGCCCGCATATTTTATTAAAAAAAATTGAGTAAAAATTTCAAACTAGAAACCTAATATAGAGTTTTTTCGGAACACTGCGCCCCCCACCCTGTAAATAAAATATACCTCTACCTAATTTTTGTTTAGTTTTCTCTTTATCCAGCAAATTTTGATTAATTTTCAAATCTTTTTCATTTAACATATTTTTCAAGGAAAAAATAACATTATCCTGCTCCTCAGATTTAGACCTAGCATCCTGACACACAGACTCCAAATCAGTCATTTTTAGTTGCAAATTGCGCGATTTTTGCCTTTCTTTATGAATCATTGTTTTTAAACTTTTTAATTCAGCTTTATTAAGGACAATATCTTGATTAAAGTCAACCAGTCTTTTTCGAAATATTGAATGCTTCTCATCAATTTCCTTATCTAGCGATTTTGACTTTTGTTGACGCAATTTTAATGTTTTAATAATTTTATCGATTGCTGTCTGACACTGTTCAACACTTTCTAAATTTAGTTTTACTATAGGCATATCAGGTAAAATGGCATATGATGAGCTAGATTTTGGTTTTCCGGGAGTTTGATTTTCTTTGTTCTTACAGATAGTTCTTTTTATGGGAGTATATTTTACTTCAGCTTTTGTAATTTTCACATCTTGGGTCATTTCAGCAAACTTCAAAACCTAGAATAATATATAATGCCGTATAATCGAAAAAAAAAGCGATGGCTATGAAATGAAGATCGCTGTCATTTTATATGGGAAATGTCATTGATCTTCATTTCCCAGCTAACTGGACGCCGTTTTTTTTCGATCATACGGTACTTAAACAATGGTGTGTTTACAGATGGAAACAGTAAAAGAATCCAGTGAGGCGCCAGTTTTGAATTTTTAATTAAAAAGCAAAATTTATATTAGTAAAATAAAACTCTAGTTTACCACAATACCTCCACCAAAATACTATATTTTTAACTAGTGATGGTAAAAACCGAGTAATTTCAATAATCGAGTACTCGAGGTTCAAGCGATTCCAATAATCGAGCGATCGCTCGAACGAAATTTCGCTCGTATTTAAAAATACGTTTTTTCGCCCGTCGCTTGTAACGCCAAGCAGTAAGTTGCGTGCGCAGAGTTCATATTCTTTCGGTGATGAATAGCAAGCAGCAAGCAACGAGTAACTCACTTGATTTTGTCTTTAGTTTAGTTTAAAACATTGTCGATGTAGGTCGTAAAATGTTGTCACTCAGATATGCAACGGATAACGTCTTATAAATTTGCTACGTGCAATGTATGTAGAAAAGTCGCTCGGCTTTGTATCGAGTATGTCACATTAAAATCGGATTTCAAATTATTTCGTCACTTGCATTGCTCGTTCATAATCAAGCGATGTCGGTTATTTCAATTCAATCGAGTACTCGAGCGAAAATGTTATCCCATCACTATTTTTAACACTGGGCGCGTGTTTTATATACAAAGGATACAGGGTATCCCGATATTCCATGGACATAGAACTACTACATATTTTTGCAATAAAAATAAGTTAATTGGACACAATTTTCCTTTATACAAAAATGCTTTATTTGTCTGCCAGAGGGCTTCGAATTTTAAAAAAATAAACACATTTTTTTAGATATTTTAAGAACAGTTATCCCGATTTGAATGAGATTTTGGATGCCTATGTTAGGGTACAAACATACTGGGGCATCTCGATGCGATGCTCGCCGCGATGCATCCTACGCGCACTTACTTGCAGTTTTAAAACAGTGCTTAAAACGTGCGCTTAAGATGCATCGCGGTACCACAAATTATTTTTAACAATAACTTTAATAAAAAACTTAAAAATTTAGTAAATTTTAAATTAATTATCGTTTGGGTTTATTTTATTTTGATGCCCTCTAAGGGATAAACAAAAAGGTAAATTATGTGCAATTAACTTATGATTCAAAAAATACGTATCTGTTCTATATCCACGGAATATTGGAACTCCCTGTATATTTTTTAGCCTTGCTTTTGGAAAAATAAATTCTTAAAAAATTTTCTCAAAAATTATGCGATATTGCGTTTTTTTACAAGATACAAAAAATGTAGTAAATGCTAGAGGGACCATTTTACGAAAAAAAAATCGGCCGTCGATTGAGTTGAAAAATATTTATACTAAAGTTTATGTAGAGGTGGGGGTAGTTTTTACCCTTCCAATATTTTTTCTTGATTTTTGTTAAAGTCAAATATTAAAGCACTTAGCAAAACATAGACACCCAAAATCTCATTCAAGTCAGAATAACTGAAAAAATAACATTCAATTTCAGAATAAATTTCTGAAAAAAAGTGTTTATTTTTTTAGTTTGATGCCCTCTAATGGACAAAAGAAGCATTTTTGTATGAGGTAAAATATGTCCAATGAACATATTTTGATTCCAAAAATACGCAGTAGTTCTATGTCCACGAAATATTGGGATACCCTGTATATGTTAGCATCATCACCAGATGATTAAAAGAAGTTTTAGCGAAACGCGTGTCCAGTGTTAGCATATACAAATTATTCAAATTATATAAAGAATATCAAAAATCCATATTGCATATTCTTTAAGAATAGGTACCTGTATGTTTTCTTCTAAATCCTCTATACATGGATTAATACACACAATCATTTTTACAGTACCATCTCCTTCAAAATAGTGTTTAAATAAAAACGTCAATCTACTATCCCGATATGGCACCAATCTCTTGCTTTTATTAATTTGATTCTCCCTCAATATTTCCAAACATGTTCTTAGGGACATCAAAGAATTATTTATGCTGCTTGCTTCTTTTAATCGCATGCCTGTATTATTTGTTCTACTGGTTCTTTCAGAGCCTGCCAAATCAACCAAACTAAGCTGTCCAATCTTAATACGATTTTCATTTGGTATCATTGGTTCTCCATTACTATTTAAAATTACTTGTTCTAATTGAACTACACGAATATTGAAAATGGAATGGCTTCGACTTGAATCAGAATTCAAAGAAGTAGCTGCCATTCTTTTGCGATTCTGACCCGACATAAATAATTCGAATGCTTCTTGAGCATTTTTAACTTCTACCTCCAATACACCATTAACATACATATTTTTAGAACTATCCTCTCTTAATATTTTGTTTTGAAGGGTCTTCCCTGAGGAATAGTCTAATAGATCAAACACACTGTTATTATAGATTTCAACATAGCTGATAAAAACTGCATAAATGTTATTTTCATTTACATTTTGTATTTTGGTTCCGTCGTTTAAGTAGGAAATTTTTTCACTCTCTTTCCTGTAATTTAAAGTTAAAAATGAAAATTCTATAATAAAATACATAAATATACAATATGTGTAAAATACCTTTGTGTCTTGGCAAATTTATCATGTCTCACAGAATTTAATCGATCTTGTAGAGCATCTTCCTCACTTTGTATTTCAAATCCATTCATTCTATCTGACTTTATAACACATTTAGGTGCTTGATAATCACCGATTGTATTAAATATTGTATCAATACATCTAGGCATAATACCTGGATTATTTTGCTCGCCAGTAAGTGTGTAAGTTTTTCCAGAACCTGTGACGCCATAAGTAAACAAAAGGCCATTTTTACCGTGTAGTAAATCGTCCAACAGAGGATAAGCAACATGATTAAATATTTCAGACTGGGATGAAAATGCTGTGAAGATGTGTTTAAACTGGTAAAGAGTTTCTTTTCTTGACACTTTGGATCCTATTCCAGTGAGAGATAAAGTATCAGCAGAAAGTAACTTGATCGAGTTTGTTGGTTCATTTCCTTGTCGAATAGGGCGAATTCTACAATAAACGTGAACAGAGTCTTTCTTTTCCGAATCAGAATGACTAGACAACGCCTTCTCTGAACCTGTCCTTTTGGCACTATCCATAATATACTAATTTACGGAGTTTATAGGAAAGGAATAAAATCTTGTTGAATATTGACCGATGATTGACCGTTAAGACCGTTAAATTTAACCATAAAAACAAAGACTGTGGCGCCACCTGGTAAAGATTATAATGCATTAGTTCTATGAGTTTTGTTCTGTGGTTGCTCAAACTGAAGGTAGGGACGTTCATATTTAAAAAAAAATATCGATAATATGAACATCCTCAAATTTTAAGTATATGAATATTTCCTCTTAAGAATGAAGCAAGAAAATGATCCTTTCGATTAGGATACTCTTTATATGAAAAGTTCAACATAGGTATCAGAATACAAACTTTATTCATTAAAAACAAACTACTCCATAAAACAAACATGTCCTTTTTTGGCTTTTTTAAATTAATTTAAAGGCTTAAACTGCTAGGACCATCATTTCTGTGTAGACTTTTGACCAACTTTGTTTCTTTTTCGTTATTAATGCCAAAAGCAATAATTTTTAAAAGAAGAGGAATCTTTCATCATGGGTTCGGATTCCGCGTAAACAAAGTAGGCCCCGTCCAGATAGCCCTGGCAGCAAAAAGGAGACGTTAACTGAAATCTTTTTTTTATAACCCTATAATTCTTCCGTGAAAATTCTTGTGTTGTGAAATAATGAACTTTGAAAACAATGAATTTAAAATTATTTTTAAACCCCCTATTAATGTAAGTATGAATAATATTGTTTAATAATTTATTTATTACCTTAATGGTTAGTGAAAGATTAGATATTTTATATTTTTCTCTATTAAATTAAACTTTAAATTGTAAAGAAAAATTACATTATTTATACAAAAATATCTAAATATGCTAGAAAGAACAAGCTAGAATGGGTAAAATTGTAGAAAATTGTAGACAATTGATGGAAAAAGGATATTAAAAAATCACTTTAGAATGTTATAGATTTATTTGGACTGAATTATTAATTAGGAATTGATAGCATAGTTACCAAAATGCTTATTTGTCTTATTGATTACCATTTTATAGAAGGGATATGCGCATTTATTTAATATAGACTAATCTTGGCTGATAATAGAAAGAATATACCTAAATGAATTTGGAACATTTGGTGTTACAAGTTACAACACTTACAACAGCCAGATAACACTAGTTTACCGCAACACACCAAAATGCTTGTCTTACACTTTGGAGGCACTGTTTGCAAACCATTTCGAATTATCAACAATTAGAAATTATAATTATTATTAACTGAAAATTAGGAGTTTATAATAAAATAATTGTTTTAATAAAATAGATATATCTATATCATAGTACCTATAATATCTGAGGATTATAATCATAATTATAATGATCTGCTGATGGTGGTTAACCGAAACATGAAGTTAATTTCATATTATTGTAAGATTTGTTCTAGCAAGTAAATGTATAAGTTTATGTTTATGACATGAAAGTGAGTAGGTATTTTTTATAGAATAATTTTGAATTTCTAACAGCAGTATAATTTTAAATTAAATATTTGTATCTGAGTTCGTTTCATCTAACTATTAGTTATCCAATTTTTTTTCCTTTCACATCTCTATTAAAATAATCTTTAGTCTTTATTGATAATGTAATAGGCCAATGTCGCGACCGCTGTGGGTCATCAAATTCTGTTTTTTAATTAAGTTATATCTTGAAACATGCCTTGGCTTAACAAAGACTATTGCTATTTGTAATCTTTGACTTTGTATACATATTGGGGGTCTTTGCTGGTTTTATTTTTGTTATGTCATAATATAGTATAAGAAGATATATATAATAAAATATATGATATTTAATATATAAATATAATAAAATTTCTAGACTTTTTAATCGCTGATTACATGACATGTATACCATATGGTTTATGGTTATACCTAGTTGTCATGACATATGTTTTAAGGTTGTCCATGTAGAGAATAAAGACTGAAAGCTTACTTGACTTAAGGTATTGTCAGCCTTGAGAACTCGAAAAATAGCTGGTATTTTCCATCTGTGCTACATCGGTGGTTGCGCGATGGTTATTTAGCCTACTGCCTACTTTTTACCTGTTATTTTTTGAACCTGTTTCGAGTCTTGTACCCCTATGCGCTGATGCGGTTCAACGGTAAAAAAACATTACCTCAGGCATTACTTCCTTCTTCTGACTTTTGGAATTGATTTGAGCCATATAAAATTTCTTAGTCAGTAACCAGCTCTTATTTTTTAGAAGTAACAACTGTTGCGCTTTGTTATTTCTAAATAACATTTTTAAAATAACATATAAAATATATGTATATGTACGAGGATGGTCTGAAAAGTTTCCGACCTCAACGTGAAGATGACAGCACTCGTAGATAAAAACTAGTGAATTTTCATTGTTCATCTGTTGACAGTTATTCACCAAAGTTTCAGCCATTTTGGATGCGCAGTTGTTATATAACAGTCGTTTGAGTGAGTTGATGTCAGTGTTTTTGTGAAAATGGACAAAATCGAGTATCGAGCTGTCATTAAATATCTGGTTTTGAAGGCAATACGCCTACACAAATTAAACATGAGTTGGATTCTGTGTATGGGGATTCTGCACCATCATTTACCACAGTGAAATTTTGGGCAGCTGAATTTAAACGTGGCCGTAAGAGCTTGGGAGACGATGAACGTTCGGGACGTCCAAAAACTGCCGACTGTTTTTTAGGATAGTCATGGAGTTATTTTAATTGATTATCTTCAAAAAGGAAAAACCATCACAGGACTATTACTACTACGCATCATTACTTGACAAGCTAAGAGCAGAACTTACGGAAAAACGACCACATTTACAGAAAAAGAAAATCCTGTTTCACCAAGATAACGCATCGTCTCACACCTCAGCGGTTGCCATCGAAAATCCACGAATTACGGTTTGAACTGCTTGACCATCCGCCTTACTCACCAGATCTAGCCCCTAGCGACTTCTTTTTGTTCCCTCATTTAAAAATTGCTCTCGGAGGACAGAGATTTTCGTCAAATGAAGAGGCAATCACCTGCGTGAACCACTATTTTGCAGAGAAAAACGCCGAGTACTATTTGGACGGGTTACAAAGATGGGAGCATCGCTGGGAAAAGTGTGTAGAGTTACAAGGGGACTATGTTGAAAAATAAAAAAAATATTCAGAAAAAATGTCTTGTATCTTTGTTAGGTCGGAAACTTTTCAGACTACCCTCGTATCATTACAAAATAATACTCTGGTATGCAAGGTCTTAAAGTCTTAAATATCATGGCAGGTAGATCTCGATAAGAGAAATATATTTTATCATTGGTCGCGTTCATCAGGACGTAGCGCTACTGCAGCAATCACTAATTTTCTGCTGAACAAGCCGATTAGTTGTGAGCGCTCTGGGATCAGTCGCCATTTTTTCCATCAGATTTACAATACGCTACGCTACCGATGCATGATGGATTAAACGTCACATACGCCAAATGTCACAAAATGCTTTGGAAAACGAAAACAAACCATTTTGTTTATTGTTCTCGGTTGACTAATCCCCTCGATTTGTGCCAAAATGGGTGAAAACAATTTAATATGCATTACTTATGATTTTGATAATCAAATTTATGAGGTGTCAGGGAATGGAACAAGGAAAGAGAGTTCCTCGTCTAAGGGATGCTAAAAAGCGCGTTCAGCAGGACAACCAATCGATGGCACATCGCTCACTGATCAACTTGTCCTGATGAACGCGACCATTACTTACCGTTTTTCGAATAAAAAATTTACCGAGTTATTCAAGTTTGAAATTAAAAGAAAATTATTTAAGTATTTTTAAAAAAATTGTGAGCCACCGGATTTTTCTGTATTTGCATCTCTTTTAGTGCTATGGTAATATCAGAGATTAAGAAATTATACCGTGGGAAAATTTGCGATGAACAGGTAGTTCTAAAAAGTTTTATAAAATATACAGGAAACTTTAAAAGAAAATGCACGCTTTTCAACATCTTTTATTTGCAAAGAAACCTCATGGTGTCAAAATATACCGATCCTAAAAATATTTATAACTGTATAACTAAAATATTATTCATTTTTTAGGTGGGGTATTACGTTATGTCTTTTAAATTACATTAAATTACTTTTATTAGAAAGTAGATACTTGCGGAAAAAATAATAAGAGAAATTATTAAATATTTGTCATCATTTTATATAGACACCTACAGTTTAATTTATTACCAGGGCTATCATCGTTCACGATAATTATTTTTTTATTCAGTTATTTTAGTTTGCGCGTGGTTATGTATGGATTATCTTCTTGTGTTTCACACGCTCCTAAGACGTGTAAATACTATACAAGTGATATAATTCACCGAAATCAAAATATACCGTATTATTAAATAAAAACTACACCATACAACAGAAAGTCAATAATAAATAGAAATTTTATTATTGTCTGAAAACTTAATATTGTGCCTTTGACTTGATATATCTACCTATTTAAATATTTAGTACTGTATAGTGTTTTAATGTAAAACCTATAATTATTTGGCATGTTTCCGAATTTTTAATTATTCTAACATTTTGGTTAATTCATATTATTAAAAGTCATTTAAAAGTAGGTACATTTAAGTTGACACATTGTTTTATCCTGAGGTTAAATCAAATCTCCAAATCAACCTATATTTAGATATGCCATTTCGTTTTATAATCCAAAGCAAATCTAATGAAAGGAAGCAATATTTCTCTATAATCTCTTAGATTAAAATTTTATTTGATCGTTCATAATTAAAATTTTCAAAATAAAAACATGTTCGATAAAAACAAATTTATCAAATATTTATTCGTTCTCCTAGTAACTCATAGTAAATACTTTAAGGTAGATTTTAATCCCTCTTGATACTAATAACAGTAATAACACAGATTACATACTTTAAATTACATTCATATCTTCACTACATTATTAAAAAAAATCTGCACATTAAGGTTATTATGTTCAGTAGATGCTATATTTTTTTTAATAGATAACATAATATGCAGTAACCAGCATTTCAAATATTAACACGGATTTAATTCAGAATGGTTACTTGGAGACTTATTGGTGGGTCGTTCCAAAACTCATTGCTGCATTAGAAGGTGTCTCCTCGCTCAGCCAATCGCACGCCTTCCAAATGGCAAATATATCTGCCTAAAAAACACTTAATCTATCCGGAAGCCGATAAAACCTTGCGATGTCAAGATTTTTCGAGAAGACCCCAGAGCCTACGTCTGAATCCATCTTGGATCCATCAGCAAATAGCGCAATATCAAATTCCTTCACTACTTTGTGAGTCTCCCACTCTTTTCTGGTTGGAATTCTGACCAGAAAGATCTTGTCAAGTTCCAACCTAGGTGTCAAATAATCTGATGGTCCAGCAACATGGTCCAGCAATAATACCTTTCGGTAACATTTGAAGAATACTGCTGTGACCGAAGGGTTTCTTCGTCCAGCAACCACTTTCTCTGAGCCTGATTGCACTACTAGAGGCCAGATTTTTAATAAGAAGATCTAATAGTGGAGGGGAACGTTTAGTAATGCAAACGCACGCAGTCCTGTGTACCTTTCTAACCCTGGAAAGATTGGTTATCTTCTCCGAAACTAGCCATCACACCAGGGATCCATATGTGAGGATTGGTTGCACCATGGCAGTGTATATCCACTTAGTCACATTCGGTTGCAGTCCCCACTTTTTACCTATCATTTTTTTACACGTGTAGAGGACAACGTAGGCCTTTTTATTTTTTCTTCTACGTTGGTTCGCTAGTTTAGCTTTGGATCAAGAATTGTATCTAAATACTCAGCTTGGGATGATAATATCAGCATAGTACCGTTGAGTCTTGGTAGCGCGAAAACAGGCACCTTAGTTTTGATGGTAACTATCATTAACTCAGTTTTTCCTGGATTGATACTTAGTTCACATTTCTTGGTATATTGGCTATTTTAAGACTTGATTGCGTAATTTGACTCATTACGGGCAGGGAAAAGCCGTTGACTAGTACTGCTACGTCATCAGCGTAGGCCTGGACCTCCCTCTTTCGAGTTCCAGCAGCATTCATTGCGCGGAAAAAAGAAGACTGCTGGCTTTGGTAGGTCATTCGACCATACTCTACCCATCGCCAATCTGGGACAGATCCATGCGCTTCAAACATTACGAAAACATGCTAGAAAGGATAAACAGGAAGTTAGTACTCAGGGTTTCATCGGCACATGTCCAACAGTAGCGGTACTGTGTCTTGCTAAGATACCTCAAGGAAAGAAACCAATTATATAAAAACGGAACCTCCTTCCGAAAAGAGACGAGAAACATTGTACTAGAACGATGGCAGACACGCTGGGAAGCATATAGCAGGTGGACAGAGACTTTCTCATACCTAATATCAAGGATTGAATAAAATGCGACTAGGCAAACACGAACTACTACATCACGCAAGCCATGACTGGCTATGGAGTCTTTGGCGAGTAGATACTGTGCTTATAGAGCATAGATACTGTAGCATATACTATACAGATGCACAGAATCCGCAAGGCTGACTCTCCTACACGCTGGTATTGCGAGGCGTCAGACTCGGCGAACCATACACTATTTGAGTGTTACGCGCACGAAGATATATACGGGAAAACACAGAAACAGTATGTGGTACGAAGATCACTAGAGTAAATATCGGAAACTTTCTGACATTATCGAACGAAAATATCGAAGCGATTTGCGGAATGTTAAGGAACATTATGAAGAAAAATGAGAACGACGAAAAATACAAGATTTGGGTACAGACAAGACCAACATAGAAAAATGATAAGTCTCTAATCTCGATGGGTAACTAATGGGTAATCAACCTTCGGCGGTACCGAGAATGGCGAACTTAGAGCACAGATAGGCTTTAGTGAGTAGGCCTTCTCGCATGAGGGAGTTTCCCATCTATAAAAAACAGTATACCATTCATGACAAGAGTGGAGAAATTACTCCTCCTTGTGGCGTATTCACATGGCCTCCTCTATTTACATGTCTATTTATGCGACTGTCTATATTGACTGCAATTCTACCTTAAGGAAAGAGCTTTAAATCAGTTGATACTATCAATCATGAAATTTTGATATAAAACAATAATTCATAAGTAAACTCCAGTTAGCTGTATATGTTTGTTGTATACGTGGAATAACAAAATCCAACAAGAAGATGAAGAATGGATAAGACAGAAGATAAAGGATCTAGGTAACAGATGTAAACTACAAAATTAAATTCGTGAAATGTTAACGGCAATTGACTACAATGATTACATAGATACAGTACCCAAGATATTTAAAAAGATCAAGAAGGCGCTCGAATCCAAGATGGGACTCTAGCATTAAAAAAAAGCAGAAATAAAATGGCATTAAACAGCACAACAAAATACATAGGCACAAATGAAAGAAGAATGGGCATGTGCAAGGGAGGCATCACTGCAATTAAACTGTAAAACGTATTTAATATACTCATTTCTAGAGTTGTTTAGCCGCTACCGGTAATTGACTGTCCAACATTACTGTCTAGTCGAGACGAAGTTGGATGAATGAAATGAGTTTTGATTATTTGGATATCAACTTTTTTTCGCTATTCTGGGTTTTTTAATTTTAATACGTATTTGATAGCTTTTAATGTCTTGATTTTAAAATCGAATGTTTCACGTCACTCCAAATTTTCAATCAGTGCATCAGTGCTGTATTGATCAGGTCTGATCGTAATTTGCGGGTAATAAGTTACCGGTAGCGGCTAGAAACCAGTCTCTTTTCTCGCCTAAGGTCTACATCAATTTACTCTGTAATCCTGACGTAACTTAGATAAAATATACTTATTAATTGATAAGGATAATTGAGCGTGCTAAAAATAGATTTTATCACAATTTTTTAGTGAATGTGGAGAATTTTTTATCGATTTTTACTTAATTAGACTAATTATGTATACTTTTATTCACGAAAATGATAAAATATAGAAATTATGTCTTTTAAGCTGAAATAGGTTTATCAAAGGTTATATCGCCATATGTCTAGAGAAATGAAATTGTTATAATATTCATTAAAGTATGCTGAGAAGTAACATGCTTGTTTATAAATATTTATACATTCAACTGAATTTACTTCTTTCCTAATTTCTAGTATTAGTAGCAGTAGTATTTACTGAAATTAAAATGTATTCTAGTTTTACAATTTTTTTAAAATACAGTGATTGTATGCAAAATTTACAATTTTTATATCAGACAAAAATAACCACCATAACAACAAAAATAACCAATTATTAATAACCAATAACACAAAAAATATAAAACCAATTATTATACTCAGTGAATTATTATTATTATATTCGGTGAAGTTATAGTAGGCTTTGAAAAAAGTAGCTACTTACTCTACGAGTCAAGTGAATTAATGAAGTCTCTTGAATCCAATTCGCATGAATGCAATATGACCGTCCAAGCTTGCCAAATCATATCAATTGATCAAGTGAGTTCATTCAAGTCTCAGTTGACTATTGTTTAACTTTTGACGTCCAAGTAATGTTTTTGCTGTCAAAGCTGTAGTGGGTCTACTAACAGCGCATTGTAAGCTGAATAAGCATCTAAAGCTAATGGGATCGATGGACGAAGCCATGTGCAGGTTCTGCCAATCTGAGGAAAAAACGACAGAACACATTTTATGTTGGTGCGACAGCCTGTCAAATGTGCGATTCTCGGTAACGGGCAATGATAGGCCATTGCCAGAGAGCTACATGGAGGGTTCAGTCTCCAAGTTGCTAGACTTTGTAAAAAAGATAGGACTGGAGAATGGAACCTAAAGATCAGAAGGGGACCACAATAGATCTGGAAAGGTCGCAGTGGATCAAGCCGATAGCCACCTCGAAGAATCTAATCTATTCTAGTCTCAGCAACGTTTTTTTATCATTTGATTGCTTTTTCAAAATGCCTCTATTACTAATTCAACTGATGACTACATATAGATTTATTGTGAAATAGGGTAGTGTGGAGGCTATAATCTGTTGGTTGAACAATAGAACACCTAATTTTTTTTATAGCTTATTTTTTTAATTATATATGCTATACATATATGTTACGGCTAAAATGGATACTTGGCTAGTTTTCAAACTAGCCAGTTATTTTGCAAAAAGCGCTGTTATTTTGTTGGTTAGGTGTCAGTTTGTGGTCACGGAGGAATAAGAAAGCGGAGTCGCTACTACACGTATTTCTGTAGGATAAAAACAGTCTCACTGCGTTGTTTGAGCGGGGCCAAAAGTGTACCCTTTGGACAGGACCTGATTAAGTAAAACTTCAAATAATAAAAACAAACAATGATGAAAATTTGCCTTGAGCTAATGTCAAATCATTGTGTAATATTAATCGTGTGTATCGCAATGAACAAATTACTTGGCATTACTACACCAAACTTAAAATAGGCATAAAATACTAATTAATGTTCATTCGTTAATTCGGTCATTACGGACCTGCACACTGTTTATCTAACCTTTGAAATGTTACGCGGGTGAGTTTCTTCGAGTCGATACCTTTCCTGCTCCTACAACTGCGTACAGCACACAACACCATGGTTTTAAATGTTTTTGTAATAGAAAACACTCAAATTATCGATGAAAAACATTAAATTTCGAGAAAAATGCACAAATTACAAAAAGTACCACCATCTAAGATGGCGGGCGGCTAGGTGAACCTCTTTTTGCAACAGCTGTAGCATCTCCCCTCTCTTATTCCTCCGTGGTTTGTGGTGTTGGTTGTGCTGTATGTTTGTAAAATAGCTAGCTAGTTTTCAAACTAGTTTTCAAACTAGCTAGCTATTTTGCAAAAAGCGCTGTTATTTTGTTGGTTAGGTGTTAGTTTGCGGTGGTGGTTGTATTGTTTGTTTGCAAAACAGCTGACTAGTTTGAAAATTAGCCAGTATCCATTTTAGCCGTAACATATATAAAGGGTTTGAGTCTTCTTTGAATTATAATAAGTGTATGGAAGCAATAAGTTTGGGAAACCCTGAATTGAACGATATTACAAGCAAAAAATCAATAAATATGTTATAGATCCCATCGTCATATAATGTTTGTTTTTGTTTATAAATATAATTATTCAAAGTAATTTAGTTATTTCCCAATTTCCAATGATTGACATGTTTACTAATATTAAAATTTATATTGTTTTTTCACAGATCAACTAGACCATGCTACTTTAGGCGACCACTGCTTGTTTTGAATAAGAACTACGTCGTTGGTACCCCCCTCAAGCGTGTCAACTATTTTTCTACTCGTACTGATAAAAACAAATCGTCTGGTAAGTTATAAAAATTAGTACTTACACAGTGGGACGCAATGATGGAAATTTAGTCAGACATATGGATTCATCAGAGAAATAAGTAAACATAGAGAAATTCTCAAATGTTTGGTTTGGTTTGGTCATCAGTCGTTATGTGTCTGTTTATATCTTGCAATGTTGTCAAGGTTTATACAGAGAATCATTATATGAATGTTACCCATCTTTAGTCCAATATTAGTAGTCAATATTTTAAAGCAATACCGACAACATGCAACAAATTTTACTTTAATCTGGAGGTAATATCTTTTTATATCAATGTTGTAAAAGTGTGCTAAGTTTAGACAGAAGAAGACTAAAGAAAGTGTGGACGGGTCTTGCGAGCGCGAGACAACCCACGGAGTCTCGTTGCTATCTGTTCTATCGGTTTTTCGACGCCGGATTAATGAAAGCTCGCTGAACAGTATGGACTTTTTTGTAGTAGGCTCGTAGACATATTCTTTATGAAAACATTTGCTTTAAATATTTAAGGCTAGGAAAAAGCGAAAATTAAAGTAAGCGTACACATCTGATCCCGGCGATCCCAATTACCGTTCTAGAACGGTACAAATTTGTGTGCTGGAATCACAATATTTCATTTAAAATAAAACTTTTAATTAATTCAATAAACCGTGTGTATACCTACGATTGAGTATGATTTTTAGTGTCGAAGATTGTGCAAAAACCCTTGCTCTTGTTGAAGATACGCGAAATTATAAATATGTGGCTAGGATACTACACACTATCATTAAAAGGGTAGTGGAACGTTTGAGATTGAAATATGGGTAATGCGGGTAGTGGTAAGACGTGCAAAACTGCTGTTCTAGACTACCGATATATCAGAATAACGCTTTGCAGTACCGCCATTTAAAACCGGTGTAAAGAAGAAATTGCCATCAAGAGATTCGAAGCAGGAATGTAAATGTACTTACAGCTCGTCGAATCTTAGTACTACTTAACTAAGACATGAGCCAAAATCAAAATGCTCATGAGTTATGGTTGTGACTCCCATTGTCTTGTGCCTGCCTGTAGTGTCGTGGCTAGGGAATTGCACCAGGACGTATAACGATGCCGGGATAGGACTACCCTACTCGGCATACCAGGCACCGTCTACTGTCTGTGGTCATGTATCACGGGCAGAGGGTGTGGGGTCGTAGCTTAACCGGCTGGACCAAGAGAAGACGACCTTAGCAAAAACCTAAAACCTATCATGGCGGGACCAGGTCAAAGGGATGCGTGTCTAGATACCTAGAAGACTACTGGCCTCAACTTTGGGGGACCAGGGGGCAACCCATTGTATTCTCGTCTCCCTTACTTCTACATGCGGGGCTCTGTAGAAATGGACCAACTAACCCTTGCGGTGTATTTGACCTCAAATCCAAGGAGGCAATAGTGAAAGAGGGATATATTCTCTATTATAGATTCGGGACAATACCTGCATCAAGTCTAAGGAGAGATCAAGAAAGAAAAAGATCAAATAGAGACAGATCATCTAGCCTCCACCTGAAGGGTACCTCAGCCAGAGGTACCCCAACCGTGGAAGGGTGTATACCCTCGTAGGAGGTAGATACCTACTCCTGGGACGATGAACATCTGTTGTTAGAGGAGGATGGGAAATACCCTCCCCCGATAACAGGAAGATCCCCATGAGCTATAACTCAAGAAAGGGGGATACAATAGATCTTTAAAGTCGCGGTAGATGAGCCTAAAGAAGATGAATGCTCTTGAGCAGTGCCTCAAAATCTCCGCTTTAAGGTGAGTTTGTGGATGGTAAATGAAAACCGGGTGGACAACTCAAAAGGTAGAAGGATATTTTCTACGAAAACTTAAAGGGGATTAACAAGCAGAATGAAGACCAAACCAAACCAAACCAAACAACAATCAAAAAGTAAAGAGGCAACAAAGCAATGAGATTTATGAATGTCCGGAGTGCGGTAGACAGATAACAGATCACGTATCGGGATTTTCAGTCACAGAAAAGCTCATGAAAGAAAACTCCTTGCGTGACCATCTTCTGATGCGTGTCAAATACTCGTCCGCGAGTAATAGCAGTATGTATGTATGTTAAGATCGCGGTCATTAACTCCCCCTCTTACTCATTCTAAATTCTACATTCTATGGTTTTGATCGAAAAATACTGTTTTAGGACAATTTACCCACAAAATTATTACATACGGTGTTTTAAAGTTAGGGTAAAAAACAACCCTTGGTCTAACCCTGTATACTAAGTCAAAATAAGTATTTATAGAAAACTTCGTTTACGAATTAAAGTTATTACAGTTTAACAACTGAGTTTACGATTATATTAAAGTTGGTATTAATATACAGCTTGCTAAAAAAATTATGAAAATAGGACTAAATATAAAAAATATATAACATCTTAAATTTGACGAAACATTTTTCCGTTGCGTTTTTTTGCATCTGAGTGTATTAAAAATAGTTTTGGTGCGATATATGTCGGTCTTCGCTCACTGTACATAGATAAAAGCAGCGGAGGTTATGAACTTAACAGGATAAACGGTCTATATAAAATGTTGGAGAGAGATGTGAATTTTTTTTTTCGATTAATTTGAGACCGCAGTTGTCGACGGATCCTTGCTGGAGAATGGACGCGACAGTCGAAGATCTTGTGGACAATTTTTTTTATATCCAGTATATTTTGTTGATAAAAGGTCTGAAATCAAAATGTTGCGTTCGAGAAATCATTCGAATTGCTGGTGATGTCGGCGCATCGGTAGTTTAACTTCTCTTTTGTTTTGTGCTACACAATCTCGATGACAAATTTCTTTGTTTGTGTTTAAATACCGTTCTTTAATTTAAATTTAATTAGGTATGTATTTTTAAAATATATTACTTCGGAATATCTTTTTATCAGTAATTTGCACTTGCAGTATTTTTTTATAATAAAGATGCTAACAATTTAGTGATACTATTTTATTAAATTTTAATCTAAAATAATTATGAAACTACGTCTTTAATAAGAAAAATATTATAATAATTATGTTCCAAATCAAGTTCTTGAAATATTTTTTATTCTACCCTTATTATACAGGGTGTTTCAAAAATATGTACCATTTCGTGGGGAGGTTACTTACGTGAAAATTATGAAACGTGAAATTTAGTTTTTATATCAACATAGGTCCGATTTTGCTCTTTGTTTCGTATCTACAGGGGGTTAAAGTCTTATTTTTTTTTCGACGTACTAAAATTTTCTTTCTAGTGCCTTTAACTATTCGAATGAAATGTTGGGTTAAAGTTATTAGTGCTACATATTTTAATGCTAAAAAGTGTCGATAGATTCACCAGGGACGTGCATATGGGTTATCACAGGAATATTTTTCCAAAAAAAATTCTCGATAAGATAAACACGATTTTATTAATGTGTCTTAATCCAAGTCTAATAGTAACTTTTAACATTTTTTAATATCATTAACTGGCTAAAGTGTTTTACTCATTGATTCCTCACCAAAAAAATATAAATATTAAGATAAAAACGCCTTGTGCCATACTTAATATCGCGATTATATACAGAGTGAGTCTTAAATAAGTGCAAATATTTTCAGGGCTGGTAGATCTCGACAAAAGAAACATATTTTCTCTTTACCATTTTTCAGTTAAGTCCAAAATAACCGAGTTATTTAAGTTTAAAAATTTAAAAAAAAATGATTTTTTTTGAGAAAATTTTGAGAGCCACCGGATTTTTTTCTGTAATTGCATCCCTTTTAGTGCCGTAACCATAGAGTAAAGCCGTAACTATGGTAATATCAGAGATTAAGAAATTATACAATATACATTATAGACAATTCTAAAAAGTTTTCGAAAAATATACAGGGAAATTTAAAAGAAAATGCACGATTTTCAACATCTTTTTTTTTGCGAAAAAAACCTCAGACGTGTTCCTGGGGTCGAAATATACCAGCCCTGAAAATATTTGCACTTATTTAAGACTCACCCTGTATGTGTAAAAATAAATATACCCGTATATTCTAATTTTATTATGTAGTTATTATTTGAAATCTGTAGAATGTCGATCATACGGCGAAATTCTAAATTTGTTATTTAATTGTAAGTATAATTAATGTTGTTGTCTGTTTATATTTCTATTTCAATTCATTATTCTTAATAGGTATCATTTTTATATCTAATTTTAATGTTACTATTTATTTTGTTTATACCGATTAAATTTTGTTGAAATATGCAGTTATTTTTCTAAAAAAACATTGTATCCGTAGTATCCATACCCTTTTTTGTTTTTTTTTATACTGTACAGTAAGGAAATAAATAAAGCATTATTTATCTATCTATCTAGATTAAATAAATCATTTATTAGTTGTGATTTTAGGTTGTGATGTTGGTTGAGAAAAAAGTCAGTGATGCACATTTTTTTAGAAAAATATTCTAGTGATAACTCATATGGTGAATCTGTCGACATTTTTTTAGCATTAAAGTTTGTAGCGCTTAGAATAACTTTCACCATAAAAAAATCATTCGAATTACTAAATGCCCTTGATGCTGAAAATTATAATAAATCGAAAAAAAAATTGAAGACTAACCCTCCTGCAGTTACGAATTAAAGCAGAATCGGACTTATATTGATATAAAAAATAAATCTTATTTTTACGTGAGGAATCTTCTTCCTACGAGAGATGGCACATGTTTTTTAAAACACCCTGTAGATCATACCGTCGAAAAAAAAACGGCGTCACAGTGATCCTTGAATTGACATCTTCAATAATTTTTATAATTGAATATTTTCATTTATAATAATGCATTATATTTTTATTACATTTGTAGTTAAAAATTGGTCAAATTTTGAAAAATATGTATATATCTATTGTTGAAATGACGCTGATGCTATATTTTACACATGACAAAAAACCATGTTAACCTTGAAAGGTTAAGACCGATTTAAACTGATATGTAAATCCCATTCCAACGCAGACTTTATGTGTATAAATTATTTTATTAAAGGATATACCCGTCTAATTTTTTGGCAAGATATTTATGCTTCAATAGTAGATATTCGACAAATAACTCGTACAATATTTCTTTAGTATTTATTTGTGTGTGTTTATTTTTTGAATTACTATTATTTTATCCAAAAAATGAAATACAAAATTAAGTGCTTAACATGTGTAATATCATCTTGTTTTTGTAGCAGTTGAACACATAACAATCTATGAAATAATATCTCGACGTTCTTTTAACGAATTGAATTATATTGAACAAAGCTTGCCTCTTCATGAATACATCCCACGTTAGCCATTTCTAAAGGATTAGTTTTATATCATATAATATACAAGGACGAAAAAGGAAGAGAAGAATTTTCAGTATTTTTTTTAGAGACTTTGTGGAGTTGACTGAATCTGTGGAGACTATTGAAAACATTTTGTTACATTAAATTGAAGTCTCATTTTTTCCGATAATTTTTAGCTGACCATACCAATAGGTATGGTAGGCTATTAAGATCGGCAAAAAGAAAGTTTTTTAAATTCACTCAAAATGAGTTATTTGGATCATAAATGACCTAAATACAAAATATTTTCATGGTGTCTGTCTGTCTGTCTGTAACACGATAACTCAAAAAGCGCTAAACCGATTTTAACCAAATTTGGCACAAAAATACTGTGGCACCCGAAAATCTGGCCATTAGTTTTTGGTGGGGGTGGGGGTGGGGGGTTGGTAAGGAGGTATGGGAGGGTGTTAAAAATTTTAAAAAATCGTAACTCCAAAATTACAGTAGCTAGCGAAACGCGGTTTTCAATTTAAGATTAGGAATAATATTTGCAACAAAATTTGTAATAACATCAAAATCAGTCAAAGTCGCAGTTTTTGAGATAAAAAAAAATTGGAAAAAACCAAAAGAACTGCCTACCAACTTTTTATTAACAGATAGATATTATATTTTCTTCGTTTATTCTGTTATTTCACGCACGAACCGGCAACACGGTATGCCAGTTTTTACTTTGTCTCTCTGTCTGTCAACTGGTCGTATTATATTTATCTCTGTCGTATGCAATAAAATACAGACCACGGAAATAAAATGACCAGGGCTAGTATATTATTTTAATAATGGGTATAATTTGAATAACTACATGATTTTGTGATAGCTGTTATCTGTCTCTTCATGCTTTGAACGACATTATCAATCGCTTCTTGTGGCAGATTCTCTTAAATCTAAACTAGAACACCTGCTTCTTTTGTACTTTAATCGTTTATATAACATGTTCCACACATGTTCAATCATATTATAACCTGAGGAACATGTAGGTCACCCCTTGCTCTTCTTTAGATAACATTCAAAAAGAGTTCTCCCGTTTTGAATGAAAATAGATTCGTAGAAACAATGAGCTACACGAGGACGGGCATTGTTGTGCATTTGCGAAAAGTATTCTTTGACGAGATTATAGGACAAAACTTTCGCAGTGCACCATGTTTTCTATGGCCCTGTCTTTTTCATCAGTCATCTCGATTATTTACTAAATTAAAAACATTTATTACCAAATCCATAATTCAGTTCAAATGAGATTAACTTTTATTTGTCAAGATTCCCCTTTTTTAAAGCCCTGTTTTTATATAATAATTTAGATATGAAAGTGAATACAGTCTTCAATTCCATGCCACAAAATGTTTTCAATTGCTCACTCCACAAAGTGTCAAGGAAGTAGGGGAACGGAGCTGTAAAGGAAGCAAGGAATTTTCAGTCTTAAAAAATACTAAAATTACATAGAGATAATAAAGAAAAGATATAATTTTCGAATTTGCATATATACTAATGAAAGTTACTAAATATATGAAGTTTGACTCAAATAGAGAGAGAGTAATATCTGACGAAAGAACACTACATGTGAATTTACGTTTACAAAGTGCGTAGCGGATAAATGAGTTATTGCACTTTTGTCGACTGAACGGTTTACCTACACAATTTTAGTGGAAATGATTGAACAAATTACATAATATTAGTATTGAAAACTGTTGTTAATCTGGATAAAATATGTGAAATAATTTTATTAAAATGTTTTGATATCATTTTGAAAGTTTGATCATGAACGGATTGATTGATATATACTAATTAACCCAGGTCAGTTTGGATATTTGTTGGAAAAATACTTGAACCATACAAAATATTATGCGATCTTGCATATTTAAGATATGACCAAACTACAATGTATTTGTAAACAAATATGTGAGAAGCAACAAATGTATGTTTCCTAAAATATGAAAACTGTAATCTGCGTATATAGAATAGAATTATTGTTTCTATAGACGAAACAATACTTCAAGTCTATTAAACGTATTCTTATTCACGAAGAATACGTTTAAACAGATGTAGTTCAAATGAAAATGTTAGAAGGCTTCTATTGAGCAAATTCTTTATTTAATAGCTATATAAAGTACCATATGATCGAGAAAAAACGGCGTCCAGTTGGCTGGGAAATGACAATCGATGACATCTCCCATATAAATTTACATATAAAATGACAGCTATCTTCATTTAATAGCGATCGCTAACGCCGTTTTTTTCGATCATACGGTATATTGTAAATTGGAGTATAATAATTGAAAAATTCGAGATCCAGATTATGTGGCACATGACAAAAGAGAAATGTTTATTTTACTATTTTTTTGTATATATTTTATTTGATTTACTTAATAAAATGTTTTATTAATCCGTCTTTTCCTTAATCGTATGACGAATAGGATGGGGCCAATGGGAAGGCGTCTTCAAGAGGTTTGTACCGTTAGGAATATGTCTTTTTGCAGTAATGCAATGGCGAGCTTACAGGAGCCGAATAAGAGACGGCGCTGTAGCGAAGCAGTGGGAGATTAACTGTTACTGTCTGTTGCCGTTGAGGACTGTCAGTAGAGTCTGGGGATTTTTTGCAGGTAAGACTGTAGATTATATAGTCATTAGTAGAGATGAGCAGAAAAATGCAACGCAATCGCAACCTGCGATCCCTTTTCATAGTAAACTGCGTGTTGCGATTGACTTTCGATTTTTAGGCAACCAAATATTTCAGTTGCGATTTGCCACTGCGAGTTGCCATTGCCATTGCGATCACACCGGCATCGACACGCATACGGCATCCAGCGCAATTCGCAGTCTAAGTCTAGACTAGATCACAAAATCACATTCGCAGTTACAATTCGCAACTAAAGTAATGTCTAGCAATTGAATCGCAGTCCGGGCCACGTCATTTTTATGAAGCGTTGGAAAATATGCTTATGTGTAGTTGCAGCATAATATATAGGATGGTCCGAACTGTATTCCGGAAACTTCGGCAGCTATTTTGCAGATAAAAATAAGTTAAAAAGTTCGTATGTTTTAAAATGCTTCGTTTCGGAGATACAGTTAGAAGTTTGTGTAGAAGTTTCAGTTTTATTTCGATTTTTTCCAAATAATTTCTGAAGCAACGCCAATATTTGGATAAAAATTGGTGTCTGGGAGTTTTTTGAAATGATAAATTTGATTGTGATATCAATATGACTCCTATTTGTAGGGGGCGCCACGTACATGTGTTTTACCTGTTTTGAAGATTATTAATTTTTGGTCCGTACCTGTATAAAAGTACTGAGTGAAAAAATATACATTTCCATGACTTTTTACGTAAAAAATGTCTCTTGGTAAAAATCGTTACGAGTAACTAGAATTACTAGTAATTTAGAATGGAAATCGTCAATACATGTCACTATTGGCAAAACATAAACACGTTGAGTAGACAGTTATTTGACTGAAATAATAAATTAGGGACATTTTTTTTTAAATAAATCATATTTTTTTTACGAAGAAATGATGATAAAACAATTTCTGTTGAAGTTTTCGCATAAAAGCATTTTAAATTTATGATTTCAGTCTAATAAGTATTTAGTCAACATGTTTAATTTATGTCAATGATGACAGGTATTGATAATTTCGATTCTAAATATCTCGAGAACCATTACTCGTAGCGATTTTTCCCAAGAGACCTTTTTTACGTAAAAAATGTCTTAAATGTATATTTTTTTACTGAGTAGTTTTATACAGGTACGGTCTAAAAGTTATTACTCTTCAAACCAATTAAAAAATATGTAGGTGGCGCCCTCTAAAAGTAGGAGTCATATTGGCATCAAAGTCAAATTTCTCATGTCAAAAAAACCCCAGATACCAATTTTCATCCAAATATTGACATTACTTAAGAAATTATTTGGAAAAAATCGAAATAAAAATGAAACTTCTACACCCTGTATCTCTGAAGTTATGCATTTTAGGACGTACATTTATACGAACTTTTTTACTTATTTTTATCTGTAGAATATGCTGCCGAAGTTTCCGAAATACAGTTCGGACCACCTTGTATACAGGGTCGCTGATATGTATGGGAACGGTCGATTATTAGGTAAAATATAAGAGGTACCGCAAAAAGTTAAAGTATACAAGGTCGGTCTTTTTCTAAAGTAGGTCTTTTTTTAAAGTATACAAGGTCGGAATTCGTGGTAAATCAGTTTCATTTTTTTAAATGGAACCCCTACGATTATTTACCTAAATTCAACATACAAAAGTCTTTTAGGAAATTCTGCCTCAACACTGATGAGCTACCTAGATTTCAATTAAAAACTAATTTTTTTTAGAAATATTCATTTTAAATAGGGTTTTTAAATTGCTTTTTTTTATTTTAATTAATTTTTTAACTTCCGGAATCAATTCAAATTCCGGAAGTTAAAAAATTGCACTCAAAAAAAAAATAAGTTAAGTGTAAATTAATTTATAGTTAACATGTAAGTTTGTATTAGTTTGAGTGTTTACATTTATAAAGGGGAACAAAAGTATTAATGAAAAATTCACCGTCAGGTAAATATTAGATAAGATTTATGTTTGCACATACTTCCAGACAAGTGGTTTTTATTCATTTGAGCAATCTGTCTCGTTTCGTCACATATTTTATCTAAAGTATTTTGAAAATAATTGGAAGTAATCAATCGCTATATCAGATTATTCAAAACTAAAATTCCACAACATAATTAACCATGCGCAGTGCAAAATGGTTTTTGGCGTACTTGTAAACAAATATGATACAAGAGGTATTTTTTGTTCTATCATATTTTTTGTTCAGAAGTGCGCTTACTTACAAGAGGCGTTGTACAGGGTGCGTCAAATTCGACGCTTTTAAAGGGAAACACCCTTTTCTATAGGAGATAGACGAAAACTAATATCGGCGTCTGGAGCTCAATTTTTATCAAAAACATGATGGTGAAAACCGCAGATCGATATCTGTTACCATTCAGGGCGTTAGGGTTTGTTTTTCAAAAATATGCATTTTTAACAAATTGCTGTAAATTTTTTGCTATAGAAAATTTTGTAGTTTTGTGAAAACATTTCCAAAACACTTTTTTACGTCGAATTTAATGGTTTAAGTATATTTTTTTTAAATTAATAATTTAAGAGTTATCAACAGAAAAATTGGTTTTTTAGTTGGGACACCCTGTATTTTTTTAATTTAGCGAAAAGAACTTAAAATTACCTTTCCAAAAATATACCACACTTGATAAGTAGGTATAGGGACACTTGCGACAGACAGAAGCCAGATATCCGATATGGATAAATAGGAGTGTGACGTAAATCAGGTAAGAACAGTTAAAATACGTTAATAAACAAGAATAAACAGGTTGGAACCACTTTGAATCGCTTTTGAACTGCTTTGAACCGCTTTTAGCTTAAAACAACAGACCTGTTCATTTTTTTGTTCAGACCTGTTTATTTCTATTTTAAAGCGGTTCAAAGTGGTTCCAACCTGTTTATTCTTGTTTATTAACGTATTTTAACTGTTCTTACCTGATTTACGTCACACTCCTATTTATCCATATCGGATATCTGGCTGTCTGTCTGTCGCAAGTGTCCCTATACCTACTTTGATATTTTGTTATAGTCCCCTTCGAAATACAGAATTTTTATAAGTTCGCCATTTTTAACTAGTAGGCTTTGGACCCCTTATTGGTGATCTGTCCCTAACGGAACTCGAAAACATATTTCTCCAGCAAGACGAGGCACCTCCTCAGAACTCTGAAGTTATCAGCAAATTTTTGCAGTTTCGAGAATAATTGAATAGCTAACCAAGATCCCAGCCGTTGGCCGTCGAGGCCGTCGGGCCTAGTGTCTGTGGATTTTTATTTTTGCGGAAGAATAAAAGTTATTATTTTTAAATTGCCCGTATAAAGGTTGATTCTCACTATACCTTCTGTTTCCATTCCATATCCATTCCATAGCCGTCCCGTATATTTATTGTATTGACGCTATATGTAAGCTTCCGTTTCGTATCAGTTCCATACTTTTCATTTTACAATTTATATCATTACGAAAGTTTTATTTTAAAAATTTGTATTCTTTGAAAAATGTAATAGATTTGACTAAGAGGTGAAAGAATAAATAAATATCAGCAAAATATTAACAGAGCTGGTAGAAATGTAAGAACTTGACAACGCTATTTCCGATACGCTTCAGTCCGTCCGCCAAAAAATATACGGAAGGAAAGAATATGGAGCGGAAAGGAAACGGAACAGATAGTGTGCATTGTCCTATTCTTTACATGATATAATATTTTATGTAAACGGAAGGGAAACGGAAGGGAGCTGATATGGAAGGTATAGTGAGAATCAACCTTAATCTAGACAAGAATTAGGAGTACTTAGCTGTTATGCCAGGGTATCTTTCACCGCCACTGAGTTAATGAATTCCGCGAGGAATGTGCAAAAACGGTTCCGTCTGTCCATAACAGAAGAAGTTTTTAAAAAATTATACTTAAACCATTAAATTCTACGTAAAAAGGTGCTTTGGAAATGTTTTCACAAAAATACAAAATTTTCTATAGCAAAAAAGTTACAGCGATTTGTTAAAAAGGCATATTTTTGAAAAACACCCCGTAACTCCGGAACGGTAACAGATATCGATGTGCGGTTTTCACCATCATGCTTTTGATAAAAATTGAGCTCCAGACACCGATATTAGTTTTGGTCTATCTCCTATAGAAAAGTAGTGATGGGATAACTCGAGCGAAATTTCGCTCGAGTACTCGATTATTGAAATAACCGACATCGCTCTATTATGAACGAGCGATGCAAGTGACGAGTACCAAGCGACGAACGCAAGCGATCATAGAATGAAATGAATTGAAATCCGATTTTAATGTGATATACTCGATAAAAAGCCAAGCGAATTTTCTACATACATTGCAGGTAGCAAATTTATACGACGCCGTATATATATTTATCCGTTGCGTATCTGAGGGACAAAATTTTACGACCTACATCGACAATGATTCGAAATAAACTAAATCAAGCGATCAAGCGAATCGCTCGCCGCTTGCTACTTGCCATTCATCACCGAAAGAATATGTGCCCTGCGCACGCCACTTACTGCTTGGCGCTTGGCGTTAACGAGCACTTACAACAAGCAACGGGTGAAAACCGTATTTTTAAAGATGAGTGATATTTCGCTCGAGCGATCATTCGACTATTGCAATCGCTTGAAACTCGAGTACTCGATTATTGAAATTAATCGGTTTTTCCCATCACTATAGAAAAGGGCGTTTCCCTTTAAAAGCGTCCAATTTGACCCACCCTGTACATCTTCTTTACAATAGGGAAATCCCACACAAACTCGTTAAAACCATAGAAAACATATATACGAAGCGAACCAAATTCAAGCCAAAATTAAAGGGGTTCTGACCGAACCAATAAATGTAGGCCGTGGTATCGACAAGTTGACTCCCTGAGTCCTATTCTTTTCAACATCATTATGGACGAAATAATAAGAAAATGTACGTTTACTGAAGGGATACAGTAGGATTAAGATGTACAGCGTTTGTTACATCGATTTAACTGTACTGCCAAATCACTTAATATGATAATATCGA